ACGTACAAACAAAACAAAAAGTAAAAACCGACCTCAAATTGCTGGCAAAGTTATATTACATTATTCACTACCCTTAGGAGTGGAACTTTTTCTCCAATTTTTCATGGGGATATACATGAAGTATAATCAATTTAATAAAACATCATCATCATCATTACAGCCCTTCACAAGTCCACTGCTGAACATAGGCCTCCCCCAAAGAATGCCACAAAGCACGGTCCTGAGCCACCTGCATCCATCGACTTCCTGCATGTCTTACCAGGTTGTCACTCCATCTCGTGGGGGGAGGCCCTACACTTCGCCTACCGGTACGAGGCTGCCACTCGAGAACCTTTCTTCCCCATCGATTGTCGGTTCTTCAAGCTATATGGGCGGCCCACTCTGCCACTTCAGCTTACTAATCCGTTGGGCTATGTCGGTTACTCTGGTTCTACTGCGGATATCCTCATTCCTAAGTTTATCACTCAGAGAAACTCCGAGCATAGCCCTCTCCATAGCTCGCTGAGCGACCTTGAGCTTCCTCATACGGCCAGCAGTGAAGGACCACGTCTCAGTTCCGTAAGTCATCACTGGCAACACGCACTGGTTGTACAATTTCGTTTTAAGGTTTTGAGGTATGTCTGACGAGAAGATGTGTCGTAGCTTCCCGAACGCTGCCCAGCCGAGTTGAATCCGTCGATTGACCTCTCGGTCGAAGTTGGACTTACCCAGTCGGACTATTTGTCCCAGGTAAACATACTCGTCAACAACTTCGAGCTTAGTGTTCCCAACAACTACCGGCATAGGTGTGACATGGACATTAAACATGATCTTAGTTTTGTCTATGTTCATCTTAAGACCTATCCGTTGGGAAACACTATTGAGGTCATTGAGCATAGTGCTTAGGTCCTCCAGCGATTCTGCCATAAGGACTATATCGTCGGCAAATCGAAGGTGAGTGATGTACTCGCCATTGATGTTGATACCGTATCCTTTCCAGTCCAGAAGCTTGAAAACGTCTTCCAATGCAGCGGTGAAGAGTTTCGGGGATATGACGTCACCCTGTCTTACACCTCTCTGCAATTGGATAGGTTTCGTACTCTGGTTCTGTACTCGGATAGCCATCGTAGCCCTACTGTACAAGCACTTCAACACTTCGATATACCGACAGTCAACTTGTCACCGCTGAAGGGACTGCAGCACCGCCCAAATTTCGACGGAATCTAAGGCTTTCTCATAGTCCACATACGCCAGACATAGTGGCAAATTGTACTCTTCGGACTTCTGTACAATTTGCCGAAGGGTATGTATGTGGTCTATGGTGCTAAAGCCCTTTCGGAAACCGGCTTGTTCGGGAGGCTGGAAGTCGTCAAGTCTGCGCGCGAGAAGATTCGTAATGACTATCGAAAATAGCACGTAGACGCGGCTCAGAAGGGAAATCGGTCTGTAGTTCTTCAAGAGAGCGTTGTCACCTTTCTTGAAGAACAAGACCACCGCACTTCTGCTCCACGACTGCGGTGTAATGCCACCATGGAGGACGGAATTAAAGAGCTTCTGAAAGACTTCAAGTACCGGTCTTCCACCCGCTTTCAGAAGCTCCGCTGTAATTCCATCCTCGCCTGGGGCCTTACCGTTTTTAAGGTGCTGGAGAGCCATTCTAATCTCGCGCAGACTGACGTCCGGGATATCTTCAGAATAGTGTCGGATGAGACTCGCTCTTGGATCGTTACTCACACTTGCGTGTGGCTCCAACGATGACGTGTACAGCTGCCCATAGAACCTCTCAATCTCACTCAAAATCTCAGGTGTCCCGGAAACGATGCTGCCACATTCTGTCTTCAGCTTTGACAGTTGACTCTTTCTGGCAGACAGATCTCTGGCAAAGACTTTGGACCCTTGGTTCCGCTCGATCGCTTCTTCAATACGAGCTGTATTGAAGTTGCGTAAGTCCCGCCGCATGCATTTGGAGATCTGTCTGTTCAGATGCCTGTATGCTGTCAAGTCTGTTGAAGAATGTAGCTTCATCTCCCGTCTAACAGCCATGAGATTAAGAGTGTGATCGGAGAGTTTTTGTGTTCTTCTGCGGCGGGTCTTGCAGAACTTAGCTCCGACCGCATGGACAGTTTCCACGAGCTTGTCATTCATATCGTCTACTTCATTGCAGTCTTCTAGGCACTGAAAACGGTTTTGTAACTCGAGCTGAAAGGTTTCGGGACTTTGGAACAGAGCACGAGGGGGACGGAGCGTTGACTTCATTAGACGAGACCTCTCCAACTTAACGTTTAGGTTCAGTGTGCCTCTAACCATTCGGTGATCGCTACCAGTTTTCACCCTCGAGATCACGGAGACATCACTGAACAGTTGTCGTCTGGTCGTCATAATGAAGTCAATCTCATTTTTTGTCGAACCGTCGGGGCTCGACTAGGTCCACTTCCTGTGGGGCCGCTTCTGGAAGAAAGAGTTCATCATAAAGAGTCCCTCTTTCTCTATGAAGTCGGCCAGCTGCTGGCCCCTTGGGTTCCGTTGCCCTATTCCAAATTTCCCTACTTTCAGCTCACCGTTCTCTCTGGTGCCTAGTTTTGCATTGAAGTCTCACATTAACACCGTATATTGGGTTTTGGAGGAATACATGGCTCTAGAGATATCCTCATACATTTCCTCCACCTCCTCATCGGGGTGTGCCGAGGTTGGTGCGTAAACCTGTATGACCTTCAGCGAATACAGTTTGGTGATTCTGAGTATAAGGTACGCAACCCTCGTCAACACACTCCCGATCTTTACAACGTTGTTAACGAGAGACTTCTGGACGATAAATCCGACACCTCCTTGGGATAGATGGTCGCCCTCCCGGTGATAGAGCAAGTTGCCGGATTCGAGGATTACCGTGTCGTCCCCCTCTCTTCGGACTTCGGACAATCCTATAATATGCCAGCGCAACTTGTCTATCTCTTCTTCCAGCTCCACGATCCTCTCGTCAGTCCTCAGGGTGCGTGCGTTGTACGTTGCCAGGTCGAGTCGTCTAAGGTGGCAACCGAACCTCCACCGGAGATTCTTAGCACCCCCTGCCCCGCCGTTACCATGGTCGCCACCGTAGCCAGGAATAGCGGGGCCGCCGGGGACTGGGGGCCGTCTGTTTGTTGCTTTAATCATTGGGGGGTATTTGCCATAGTTGCCACGCTTGGCGAGCGGGTTGGCAACCGCAGTTTTTTTATTGTAATTTTGGCTATTATCAGGAAGATGCTGCTGCCCATCTCCTGCCTGTTTCCCTTTGTCGCCTTTTAAGACACTCACGAGAGGATATGGGGTAGTGGATATTCTTGACCGCCACTACACGGCAATAATAAAACAGAATATTCAAAATTGGTTCACAATTTGCGAAGATATCGCGTAACATAGGTACATACAAAAAATTACACTCTCTCAATTGAGAACCTTCTCCTTTTTGAAGTTGGTTAAAAATGAGGATATCCGCAGTAGAACCAAAGTAACCGACATAGCCCAACGGAAAAGTAAACATATGCGTACGCTTAACGTAAATTAACATAGCCATATGTGCCTGTGTGTATATACAACATAAATAACAGTTTTAAAAAATGCGTGTCTGTGTGCGTAAATGTAATAGGGGGTGCCCGAGCGTGTACGTGTACGTGGGTGCTTGTTAGTGCGTGCACGTTTTTGTCTGTGTGCATGCTTGTGTATACGTATGTGTTTGCGCGCGGTGCATTCTGTCCAAATGTCCAAATTTTAGTACGTACGCCCGGATTTATGCGGTATAGTTTATTACGTACACGTACTTAGTATACGTATGGTTCGTTGCTTTCAAGTCAAATAAGGGTATCATACGAAGCAATTGGCCGCTTTGCATCGAAGGCCAATGCTTCGTATGATCCCCGTGGCCAAATCTGTTATATTGAGTTTTTGTGTTTCACGCTTGCCTCGAAAAGTGCGTAAAGCAATTGGTCTTGCGCTTGATCTCTCTCCGGTCGAATCGGATTACCCTCGCATCGGAGTATGAGAGTGAGAGGAAAGCGTGCACCTGTACTTGGACATATATTCTTGCATTATAATCTTGTCGTGCGTAGATAACTAGTGTCCGTTGAAACTGGCCGCCGTGACCGAAAATTTTATCAACTTAATGTACCTGTTGAAGCGCCTGCGCCTACTTACTGAGCAACGAGTCAAACAACGTACTCGTAGAAATTATGTCAGTAGATTACATTAATTTTAAACAGGTTCTTTGTCCTTTCAATATTTTATTACCCTCTCAACTGTTGTGAGATTAATACAATCGTCCAAGTTCTAGTTGTTTTTCACAAAGTTTTATCAAATTTTTTCGTTTATTTATTTTTTTTAAATTTGTAAGCTGTGTTTAGTTTAATATTTATAAGGCGTGCATATAAAGTAACATTTGTTTACACATCTATAATACGTTGAATTCCGCAAGATAACACCTGATTCTATTAACTATTTTAGAAATTATATTATAATATATTCAAAATTCTCCGCTACGTTGCATTTATTACAACTTTACTATTCGTTCGGATAAAGAATGGGATTAGAAATGGCGTAACATTACACTGTTATATTACAAATAACGATATTATATTAATCAAAACATTATGTTAGTTTATTTAAAATTTTTAGTAATTGGAAAACATTATTAGTATACTAAAATTTATTAAATTATGTACTTCATTTATTAACTGAATAATAAATAGGAATGTTAATATACTAACAAATAAAAAGTATAGTGAATATTTATGTTTTATGAAATTAGAATCACAAAAAATCTTATCGCAACGTTATTTTTTTTAGTTACTACTGACGAGTGTGTGTAAAGACATCGGCCTTGTGCAAGCGAGAGGTGAATAGATTAAACGCCATTTATAATCCTATTTTTAATTTGCGCGAATAGTAAAAGGAAGAAATTGTAAAAAGTAAACAGTTTATCGATGTACACTTTGGTGGGAGCCCTGGAATCAGAGACTAGAGAATGAGAGTGATAAGGAAGGAGTACTCACGACATCTCCCCAGACGGGCTGGAAATCTCGCTGGGGTTCGTCGTTGACGGGCGCCAGCTTAGAGGGTTTGGTGCCACGGTCGAATGTCGGTGCCTCCTCGCCCCATGCCTGCACACCACACACAAATACAAACTTTTGTTGCGCGATGATGACTAAACAGAGGGCGTGGCTAATGATCGCGCCATTCGTCGCTATTGCAGCTATCTACGTCGTAGAGCTACGCTGCAGAAAGCGCAGATAGCTGGAGCATGGCTCTAATAACTATAAAATGTTGCACAAATACGTAGCGATCACATCATTTCCAGGGGTTATTATCATCCATAAATTCCTTAATATTATAATACTGCTGCTAAGTGGACGCTCTCAACCACACAAACGGTTCCATCGTAGCTACCAGGCTTGGCAGATTATTATTTTAAGTTGTAGTCAGGGAAACACTTCCATCCTTCTCCTGCGTTTTCCCTCTTTATGACAAACTAGATGATATAGGGTACCTACCGAGTGGGTTCTCTAACGACAACACAAAAGGTTACCAACCAACAATTTATATATCTCTATATAGTATAAAACAGAGTCGCATCCCGCCGTCTGTACGCTTAGATAGAGCGCACGTAGCGCTCATTGCCTATTATTCCAAGTGTAAACAAGTGTTCTATAGATACTGATACATACATGAAGCGGTTAAATAGTGATGCACCATAATTGCCGCTTATGTGTCAATTTAATTAAATTCATAATTTTAATTATTTAAAAATTATTTAGTTATTCGTTAGTTAAGTAAATATATGGTAGGCAGGTTTTCGCAAGTCAATAAAAAACAGGAATGAATTTATAAAACGATGATTGTTAAATAAACGCAAAAATCTTAATTAAGTGACTGTCCCTTAAAAAGCTTTATCGCAGTTTAGCGAACGAGATGTTTTATCTTAAATTCAATGCAAGAAACATACAACTCCTAAAGTTCCTAAAACTCCCAGTTGGGCCTTTTTATCGCTATACCAGGGGCGTAGCTACCGCCGTATCAGCCGTATCAATGATACGGGGCTCCCGGGGTACAGAAGCCCCGAACGTGTGTAAGCAAAAATTCTAAGGACTTCTATGGGACAGGATGTTGGTTTGAATTGTTTGGCTAGCTTAGTTCCTAGGATTATTAATTATAAGTAATAACTTATAATCAATATGTAATTATTTTAATTCAATGCAAGAGTTTTTGTTTCCTTTATGAAAAATTTTTACCCTTCATTTGGGCCCCGCGACAAATTTTGATACAGGGCCCCTCTAAGACACTACTCCACTGGCTATCACCCACTTATTTCTTAATTCACGGCTTTTCGGAAAACTGAAATTAGTCAAGTATTTAACCGCATTAAACTTTTGTTCTATATAACAAAGCTTGTTGTTTTATTTTATGATCCATATGAGCTAAGAATACAAAGGATCTTTAGTTTTAATACTATAATTATATTATAATGATTACGAAAGAAAGCATGTTATTAAAAAAATATTCGAGTATGACGTGGCACAGCACTAGCTCTAATTCGGGGAAAACCCGAAACGCGAGGCGCGCTACAACCTTTGACGCCCTACGTAATTTAGTTAGTATAAATATCATTGTTTGTTACAGCTTGGCGCTGCACATTTCACCACGATAACTAAAAATTCTATTAAATATCGTCGAGAGAAATTATTATCACGCGTGACCTTTTGGTGACTAATAACGTCGTTCAGGCCATTTCGAGACTGCTCTGACGCGTGTTTACAGTTCTGACTTACTTACGCGCACTCTATAGCTTAATTATAAATACTCTAAGGCTTAGATCTTTTAAACTACGCAACGGATTTTGATGCGGACATCAATTGACAGAATGATTCAAGAGGATTATATAATTCTTCTGTCCGTGTGTATGTGACTTAACTCCTCCTAAGCAGCTGGATCGATTTTGATGTAATTTTGTGTGTGTGTCATTAAGTTGATTAGAGAATGGTTTAGATTCACAATTGGACCCGGTAGGTGGAGTTATTGTCGAGATCCAGAAATCAGCCGTGCAAATCCGGGGCAGATCGCTAGTGGAAAATATTTTATGCAGTTTTGTTTTAATTTTAAGTTTAATTAAGTATTTAGTGGAGTAAATAATAGCACAACCATAATGTTGTCTAACTACATTAAAATTTTACTACAGGTTTTCATTGCATATCAGTATCAGTAAACATCTGGTACGCAAATTCAACAACCAGGCATATTGTAAAATTAAAGAATATTCGCAGCCAGACATTCAATAACAAATGACGGTACAAACCTTCGCAATGTTAGGCGAAGACTGGGACCGGTTAAGGCCCTGATTTTCGGAACTGTCTTCCGCTGACTCCATGAAAGTATCTCCATCGTCTTCCTGTGGGAGAGAAACTACAATAAAAAAAAATTCATTGTTAGATTCTTAAAAAATATAAATAGTCTTTAAATTGCTGTCGGATCTTTCTGAAATACGTATAGAAATATGCCGAAAATTGTTCAAATAAAAATAGTAAAGTCAGTTTCGAATAATTAGTCAATATTATATGACAAGAAAGAAGAAATTAAAGAATGTAATAATTTGTCAAATCTTTATCAAATTTAAAACAAGACCTAGAAAACAGCAGGAAACAGCGGAAGTAAGATCAGAAATTTTAATGTAAGACGTGTGGTAAAGGTCACAATCATAACATAATGTGTTACCTATGTGTACACATAACATTTTTAAAAAGTGCGTATCTGTATTCGTTAAATATTTCGGCCGAGCCTGAATGCTCATGACGTGGGTGATTGTTAGTACGCGCGCTTGTGGGTGTGTGTGTGTATGCGTATGTATACGTAGGTGTTTGTACTCGCAAGTTTGTATATATGTACGTGCGTGTGTGTGCGTATGTGTACGTGCGTGCGTGTGCATCCGGTACGTGCGTACAAATACATGGGTGTGCATGTGTGTGTGAACCTGCGGCTTGGCGGCTCGGCGCGCGTCGGCCAGCTTGCGCTTGCGCTGCAGCTCGAGCGCCTCGCGGCGGCGGTCGAGCTGGCGGTGCTGCGTGTGTACGTGTGTGTGTGTGTGTACGTGTGTGTGTACCTGCGGCTTGGCGGCTCGGCGCGCGTCGGCCAGCTTGCGCTTGCGCTGCAGCTCGAGCGCCTCGCGGCGGCGGTCGAGCTGGCGGTGCTGCGTGTGTACGTGTGTGTGTGTACGTGTGTGTGTACCTGCGGCTTGGCGGCTCGGCGCGCGTCGGCCAGCTTGCGCTTGCGCTGCAGCTCGAGCGCCTCGCGGCGGCGGTCGAGCTGGCGGTGCTGCGTGTGTACGTGTGTGTGTGTACGTGTGTGTGTACCTGCGGCTTGGCGGCTCGGCGCGCGTCGGCCAGCTTGCGCTTGCGCTGCAGCTCGAGCGCCTCGCGGCGGCGGTCGAGCTGGCGGTGCTGCGTGTGTACGTGTGTGTGTGTACGTGTGTGTGTACCTGCGGCTTGGCGGCTCGGCGCGCGTCGGCCAGCTTGCGCTTGCGCTGCAGCTCGAGCGCCTCGCGGCGGCGGTCGAGCTGGCGGTGCTGCGTGTGTACGTGTGTGTGTGTGTGTGCGTGTGTGTGTACCTGCGGCTTGGCGGCTCGGCGCGCGTCGGCCAGCTTGCGCTTGCGCTGCAGCTCGAGCGCCTCGCGGCGGCGGTCGAGCTGGCGGTGCTGCGTGTGTACGTGTGTGTGTGTACGTGTGTGTGTACCTGCGGCTTGGCGGCTCGGCGCGCGTCGGCCAGCTTGCGCTTGCGCTGCAGCTCGAGCGCCTCGCGGCGGCGGTCGAGCTGGCGGTGCTGCGTGTGTACGTGTGTGTGTGTGTGTGCGTGTGTGTGTACCTGCGGCTTGGCGGCTCGGCGCGCGTCGGCCAGCTTGCGCTTGCGCTGCAGCTCGAGCGCCTCGCGGCGGCGGTCGAGCTGGCGGTGCTGCGTGTGTACGTGTGTGTGTGTACGTGTGTGTGTACCTGCGGCTTGGCGGCTCGGCGCGCGTCGGCCAGCTTGCGCTTGCGCTGCAGCTCGAGCGCCTCGCGGCGGCGGTCGAGCTGGCGGTGCTGCGTGTGTACGTGTGTGTGTGTGTGTACGTGTGTGTGTACCTGCGGCTTGGCGGCTCGGCGCGCGTCGGCCAGCTTGCGCTTGCGCTGCAGCTCGAGCGCCTCGCGGCGGCGGTCGAGCTGGCGGTGCTGCGTGTGTACGTGTGTGTGTGTACGTGTGTGTGTACCTGCGGCTTGGCGGCTCGGCGCGCGTCGGCCAGCTTGCGCTTGCGCTGCAGCTCGAGCGCCTCGCGGCGGCGGTCGAGCTGGCGGTGCTGCGTGTGTACGTGTGTGTGTGTGTGTACGTGTGTGTGTACCTGCGGCTTGGCGGCTCGGCGCGCGTCGGCCAGCTTGCGCTTGCGCTGCAGCTCGAGCGCCTCGCGGCGGCGGTCGAGCTGGCGGTGCTGCGTGTGTACGTGTGTGTGTGTGTGTACGTGTGTGTGTACCTGCGGCTTGGCGGCTCGGCGCGCGTCGGCCAGCTTGCGCTTGCGCTGCAGCTCGAGCGCCTCGCGGCGGCGGTCGAGCTGGCGGTGCTGCGTGTGTACGTGTGTGTGTGTGTGTGCGTGTGTGTGTACCTGCGGCTTGGCGGCTCGGCGCGCGTCGGCCAGCTTGCGCTTGCGCTGCAGCTCGAGCGCCTCGCGGCGGCGGTCGAGCTGGCGGTGCTGCGTGTGTACGTGTGTGTGTGTACGTGTGTGTGTACCTGCGGCTTGGCGGCTCGGCGCGCGTCGGCCAGCTTGCGCTTGCGCTGCAGCTCGAGCGCCTCGCGGCGGCGGTCGAGCTGGCGGTGCTGCGTGTGTACGTGTGTGTGTGTACGTGTGTGTGTACCTGCGGCTTGGCGGCTCGGCGCGCGTCGGCCAGCTTGCGCTTGCGCTGCAGCTCGAGCGCCTCGCGGCGGCGGTCGAGCTGGCGGTGCTGCGTGTGTACGTGTGTGTGTGTACGTGTGTGTGTACCTGCGGCTTGGCGGCTCGGCGCGCGTCGGCCAGCTTGCGCTTGCGCTGCAGCTCGAGCGCCTCGCGGCGGCGGTCGAGCTGGCGGTGCTGCGTGTGTACGTGTGTGTGTGTACGTGTGTGTGTACCTGCGGCTTGGCGGCTCGGCGCGCGTCGGCCAGCTTGCGCTTGCGCTGCAGCTCGAGCGCCTCGCGGCGGCGGTCGAGCTGGCGGTGCTGCGTGTGTACGTGTGTGTGTGTACGTGTGTGTGTACCTGCGGCTTGGCGGCTCGGCGCGCGTCGGCCAGCTTGCGCTTGCGCTGCAGCTCGAGCGCCTCGCGGCGGCGGTCGAGCTGGCGGTGCTGCGTGTGTACGTGTGTGTGTGTACGTGTGTGTGTACCTGCGGCTTGGCGGCTCGGCGCGCGTCGGCCAGCTTGCGCTTGCGCTGCAGCTCGAGCGCCTCGCGGCGGCGGTCGAGCTGGCGGTGCTGCGTGTGTACGTGTGTGTGTGTACGTGTGTGTGTACCTGCGGCTTGGCGGCTCGGCGCGCGTCGGCCAGCTTGCGCTTGCGCTGCAGCTCGAGCGCCTCGCGGCGGCGGTCGAGCTGGCGGTGCTGCGTGTGTACGTGTGTGTGTGTGTGTACGTGTGTGTGTACCTGCGGCTTGGCGGCTCGGCGCGCGTCGGCCAGCTTGCGCTTGCGCTGCAGCTCGAGCGCCTCGCGGCGGCGGTCGAGCTGGCGGTGCTGCGTGTGTACGTGTGTGTGTGTGTGTGCGTGTGTGTGTACCTGCGGCTTGGCGGCTCGGCGCGCGTCGGCCAGCTTGCGCTTGCGCTGCAGCTCGAGCGCCTCGCGGCGGCGGTCGAGCTGGCGGTGCTGCGTGTGTACGTGTGTGTGTGTACGTGTGTGTGTACCTGCGGCTTGGCGGCTCGGCGCGCGTCGGCCAGCTTGCGCTTGCGCTGCAGCTCGAGCGCCTCGCGGCGGCGGTCGAGCTGGCGGTGCTGCGTGTGTACGTGTGTGTGTGTACGTGTGTGTGTACCTGCGGCTTGGCGGCTCGGCGCGCGTCGGCCAGCTTGCGCTTGCGCTGCAGCTCGAGCGCCTCGCGGCGGCGGTCGAGCTGGCGGTGCTGCGTGTGTACGTGTGTGTGTGTACGTGTGTGTGTACCTGCGGCTTGGCGGCTCGGCGCGCGTCGGCCAGCTTGCGCTTGCGCTGCAGCTCGAGCGCCTCGCGGCGGCGGTCGAGCTGGCGGTGCTGCGTGTGTACGTGTGTGTGTGTACGTGTGTGTGTACCTGCGGCTTGGCGGCTCGGCGCGCGTCGGCCAGCTTGCGCTTGCGCTGCAGCTCGAGCGCCTCGCGGCGGCGGTCGAGCTGGCGGTGCTGCGTGTGTACGTGTGTGTGTGTACGTGTGTGTGTACCTGCGGCTTGGCGGCTCGGCGCGCGTCGGCCAGCTTGCGCTTGCGCTGCAGCTCGAGCGCCTCGCGGCGGCGGTCGAGCTGGCGGTGCTGCGTGTGTACGTGTGTGTGTGTACGTGTGTGTGTACCTGCGGCTTGGCGGCTCGGCGCGCGTCGGCCAGCTTGCGCTTGCGCTGCAGCTCGAGCGCCTCGCGGCGGCGGTCGAGCTGGCGGTGCTGCGTGTGTACGTGTGTGTGTGTACGTGTGTGTGTACCTGCGGCTTGGCGGCTCGGCGCGCGTCGGCCAGCTTGCGCTTGCGCTGCAGCTCGAGCGCCTCGCGGCGGCGGTCGAGCTGGCGGTGCTGCGTGTGTACGTGTGTGTGTGTACGTGTGTGTGTACCTGCGGCTTGGCGGCTCGGCGCGCGTCGGCCAGCTTGCGCTTGCGCTGCAGCTCGAGCGCCTCGCGGCGGCGGTCGAGCTGGCGGTGCTGCGTGTGTACGTGTGTGTGTGTACGTGTGTGTGTACCTGCGGCTTGGCGGCTCGGCGCGCGTCGGCCAGCTTGCGCTTGCGCTGCAGCTCGAGCGCCTCGCGGCGGCGGTCGAGCTGGCGGTGCTGCGTGTGTACGTGTGTGTGTGTACGTGTGTGTGTACCTGCGGCTTGGCGGCTCGGCGCGCGTCGGCCAGCTTGCGCTTGCGCTGCAGCTCGAGCGCCTCGCGGCGGCGGTCGAGCTGGCGGTGCTGCTCGCGCACGTCGGCGATGCGCGCGCGTCTCGCCGCCAGCTCTCGCGCCGCAGCCTCTACAGCGGTCCGCCGCGCCGCAGCCTCCGCCGCTGCACACAAGTACATTTCCTTACTGAACGTCACAAACGAGATCCACACTGTTCATCCAGACGGCTCCGTAGCGCTGTGGCTTAGCAATGAGTTGCTGTGCTGGGGGCCGCGGGTTCGAATCCCGCACGGAACATGTATATATATGACCTATAAATAATTGTCCTTGTGCAATTTGTGTTTGTAAACTGCCTCTGCGATACAGGAGAAAATCCTAGTGTGAAGGTAACATTTTTAAAAATCGAGAAGAAGTGTTCATGAACTCCCAACAATCCACCTGATGATATATGGCTACTGCAGTCCATTGACATCTACAGACAACTTCAAGCAATGAAGACCAAATCACTTTCCACCTCTAAGAGGATGTTTTTTTAATTTATTTTTTCGAAACACCGACAAAATTAATACATTTTACTTATTATAAAATTTAAAATCAACGAAGATATTAAAATGTAGTCGCGTAAAAAAATTAAAATGTATTTAAACCTGTGTGGTCTACCTCAAAACATAATCGATCAATTATAAAAAACAAAAAAAGAGGGCAAAAGATGTAAAAATAGGTGGTACACATATAATGGAGGCCGAAAAACTCAAAGGCAAACAGCTTGATGTTATTTGAAGGTTCAGAACGAAATGATTCCAACATACTATTACCTAATGAAATATTCTTAAAAAGTTACTTGCGCGAATAGAGAAAGAATTGCGACGAGAAATAGTGGCAGCTTGGGTATTGCTAGAAGTTGGGTACATCTAATAAGTAATTTACTTCGAACCTAGACGTAAACTTGTTCTAATAAGGAAGGGCAGTCGATGAGACTACTAACAATATTTAACAGACACATAATATCGATAAAAAGTGAAATCTCCCACATGTCGTCTCGTATCTGTAATCAACTCACATTTAAACTGAAAATATCTCAGATACCTTTTTTTACAATTCTTTATTGTTAATAAATCGCATTATAAACGTTCATAATCAGCGAATCTATTGATGCACATTAATATTTTTGTATCGTCTATGCCATGCCAGTCTTATTATAGATGCATATTATAGAGGCATGTTCAAAACACAAAACAATGTCATTAATAAAAATGTAAAATAGCAAAGACCCTAACAAAGAACCTTGAGGCACACCAGAAGGAATTGACATCCACGCGGACGTAAACCCATTTATTGTAGCCGCCTGGGATCTTTATACATTCGTCTGAACGATGTAAACCATCAGTATAAGATACCATGTATACCAGCTTTGAAAAGCTTCTCGAGGAGCAGTAGGTGGTCTATACGATCAAAAGCTTTACTGAAATCAGTATAGTACATTTCATTACGAGTGTGAAAAGCCTGTCATTGCAAAGAGTTCCGACAAATGTCTACACGAGTCGAGGCGCAGCCGAAGGTGAGGGTTGACAGTCGGAACAAGTTGCAATGACCGTTCCACACGTGTATTGAACAACTATTTTTAATACAGTTGCGAAAAAATGAAGCAATTTAAGAACATTTTTGGAAAATGGCGCCAACCGTAAAAGAATATAAGCAGAGATTTTTTGTTTTCTTCACCCATTCTGGGTAGGCAAAGGGAACTATGCTCATACAGCCAAGTCATCAGTAGAATTTTTTTATTGATATGAAATGAAAATAAAATTTAATGAGATGAAATGAAATGAAACCTAACCTAACTCATTGAATCAAATCATTAAATATGATATTGAAACAAATTAGTAGCTTCTTTTTAGAAATATTTGCACGAATCATAAAAACTTCTATAATTTTTTTTTAGTAAAAATTTCGTGGTTAGTTTTTCTTTTTAATAGACATTATTTTGACAGTTGGTAAAGAAAAGGCTCGAGTATATAATAGCCCACATCCCGAACGCTATACGTCCCTGTAATACGCCACTTTTTGAGCAACTGTATTAAAAAATATATTATCAACTTGTGCTCCTGAGTCCATATGTAAGGTGTAAAAATTAAAAACTAATATTTTGCCAACTATAATATAATAGACTTCCGCAAACTAACGTCAGATTCTATTAATTATCTTAAAAACTAATAGATTGACACAGTTGACTATTGCCTTAAAATCCATGTTGTTCCAGAGTAACAAACTACTGTAATAGGGCATACACCTGAGGGTAAACAATTCTTTCAAATATTTTGGCAAAGAAGCATAATTTAGATATAGGCCTGTATTTTTTTTTATATTAAATCGGTCATCGTTTTTATGTACTGGTGTTACAAATACAGATTTTTAGGTAGCTGGTACCGTATTTTCACTTAAAGATCGCTTTAAAATAATACATATAGAAGAAACTAAACTGTCTACACATTGTCTTGTCACAGACTAAAACTATTTTGGTATTGATTGTCAAGCTGTGGCTGGTAGGTTTTAGCTTTAGGTAAGAGGAAAGTGGGCTAAAAATATTCAGCAAATAAATTACAGATTCACCAGTACACCCAGATTGATCCTCATATTTGATCACAGATGGCAGCACATGTGAGGATCTGTCTAAGACTAAAACAAGCAGGGATTAGTGACAATTAGAGTCTTCAACCTTATTTATGTATACTGACAGCATTCATTTCGTTATTTTTGGCCCGTTCTCTGAGCAATGAAGTTTCATAACTACGGGTATATCGATTGCCATATTTAAAAAAAATTTGAATTTATCTTTTAAAACCTTATTCAGAAAGGAATTTACTGTTAGAAATTATTTTATGAGGTATATATGCATTTTGAACGTCAGCGATCAGTTAATATATGGTAAAACTTTTTTACGCAATCATTAATCAATCGACACCCATTTAACGCGAGTTAATTTCGACATAATTTCCCCCTTTATATTTGAACAATGTTCGTTTATTTTGTGAAACAGAACTGGGCATAATTAAGGTTAACTCATCGCGCCACATTTTTTTTTATAGAATAACGGTGGACTGTGTGCTCGTTGGTCACCCACAAACGAGCACACAGTCCACCTGATGGTAAGTGGTTGCTGTGGCCCATAGACATCTATCTATATCTATCTGCGATAACGAATCAAAATGCAGATGCGTTGCCACCCGTGAGGACTAAGATGGAATGCCTCGTTTCCAGTAAAAAAGGGTCTCCGGTTCTCTACACTCACCATACGAAACACAGCAGCGATATGCTGCTATTTTAAGCTGGCATTCTGCGAGAGCGTGGTCCTTCCCCGGTTAAGCCGACCCATTCGTGCTACAACTATACTACTAATATAGGTGCAGCATGGCTCTACCACGTAAAAACGTACTGGAAAGGGCAGAACATCGTCTGCGGGGTCAGCTTGTTTCCTATAAAGTACTGACCTTGAGCATCAACTTGTGCATTCGTAGCTTTTCGTAGGGTTTCTGCAAGTTTTTCCGCCTCCTCCCTCTCCCTTTTCTGATATTCTTCTAATTGCTCTCTAAGGCTTTGATTTTCTTGTTCCTGGTAACAATAAAATGAATATAAAACAATTAAGTTTTTCTTAACGTTTCGGAATCATCTACTATTAAGTCTACTGTTGAACATGGGGCTCATCATCTATTGGGAGACCCTACAGTCGTACTGGTACAGGACTGGCACTGGACAACTTTCATCCTAATCAGCTGCCCGACCTTGGAGTTATATGGCAGCACCATTGCTACTACAGTTTACTGATCCGTTAGGATATGTCAGTTACTTTGATTCAATTGCCGATATCTACATTAAATCTTCGAACATAGGCCTCTCCATAGGACTTTTTTTTTAATTGTGCAAAGATGATAAACGAGCACACAGTCCATCTGATTGTAAGTGTTACATTTATCCTCAATTAAGAATCAAAATGCAGATGCGTTGTCACCCTAGACGACTAAGATTGAATGTCTGAAAAGAGTCTCCAGTTCTTTACTCACCATACGAAACACAAGAGCATGAAGCTGCTATTTTACGCTTGTATTTTTTGAGAGCTTGGTCCAACCCTGGTCGAGGCGACCTATTCGAGCTATAATCAAAATATAGCTGCAGTGTGGCTCGCAGAACGGCTTAATTTCCTCATACAGTCGGTAGTGAAGAAACACGACTTAGTTTCATATTTCATCAATACCAATACGTACTGTATGTCCATTCTCGTTTTAAGGTTTTGAAGTGAAGAATACGTGACGAGATGTTCGAAATTTCAGGATTACTGCCCAGCTAAGATAGATTTGTTGATCGACTTCTTGGTTGAAGTTAAGACTTACACATTTAGTCCCTGATAAACACACTCGGTAACAACTTCAGGCGTAATACTCGCAACAACTACTATCACATATTACATTTTAGTAAGTGAAAATGAAATTAAGTGTAGGGTAGTTGTTTCCTCCACATGAAAATCAGGCGTGATTCTGAATCGCGAAGCAAATACAAAGAGGAGATGGCATAAGCAATTGTGGACTGTGATTCTAACTAGGTCCTGACGTCATCACAGTGGGCGTGACTTTACCTAGTATACTGTTAGCGTTCGTCCTGTGCGCTTATGTGTCGAAAATCGCAAATCGATGTATTTTGGTAGTATTAAGAAGAAAAGGATGAAGTGTTGTGTTTTATGGTGTAAAAACTACTCAGATAGACGCCGGATACTATGGATGGCATCACATTTCATTTGTAAGTAATTTTATACCTAATTTATTAAAAAGGTTCTAGAAAAATCTCTGCGTCGGCTTTCAAATGTAATTAAATATATTCGACACTAGATGACGACACTTTGTGTCATGGGAACTACCATGAAGCTAATACAAAGGGGAGACGGCATAAGCAACTGTGCACTGTGATTCTAAGTAGGTCCTGACGTCATCATAGTGGGCGTGGCTTTAGTTAGTATACTGTCAGCATTCGTCCTGTGCGCTTATGTGTTGACAAAATCGCAAATCGGTGTATTTTCGTAGTATTAAGAAGAAAAAGATGAAGTGTTGTGTTTTATTGTGTAAAAACTACTCAGATAGACGCTCTGATGTAATGGATGGCATCACATTTCATTTGTAAATAATTTTACACCTAATTTATTAAAATAGTTCTAGAAAAATCTCTTTGCGCCGGCATTCTTTGCGTCGGCTTTCAAATGTAATTAAATATATTCGACACTAGATGACGACACTTTGTGTCATGGGAACTACCATGAAGCTAATACAAAGGGGAGACGGCATAAGCAACTGTGCACTGTGATTCTAAGTAGGTCCTGACGTCATCATAGTGGGCGTGGCTTTAGTTAGTATACTGTCAGCATTCGTCCTGTGCGCTTATGTGTTGACAAAATCGCAAATCGGTGTATTTTCGTAGTATTAAGAAGAAAAAGATGAAGTGTTGTGTTTTATTGTGTAAAAACTACTCAGATAGACGCTCTGATGTTATGGATGGCATCACATTTCATTTGTAAATAATTTTACACCTAATTTATTAAAATAGTTCTAGAAAAATCTCTTTGCGCCAGCATTCTTTGCGTCGGCATTCAAATATAATTAAATATATTCGACACTAGATGGCGACACTTTGTGTCATGTGAACTAAAAATATAAAGGTCCGTAGAGCTCAGTATTCGTAAAATAATCATACGAAGGTGTTGAAATTTGTTTTACATTCAGACATAAAGAAATTTTAATCGCAAAATATTATTTTTATAGTTTATAATCATTTTGAGAACAGGCCGTATTCTCGTCAAGTAAACCTCATAAAAATAACAAAAAGACAGGGCCCTCATTAGAATTCAATTATTTTTCCTAGTAATCCAACTTTTAATATTAAAATGCATTAAATTGTACTTAGGCTGATTTTTACGAAATGTTTAAGTTATATTTAAGGGACATTCTATATGCAAAGAATCACTTAAATACAATTTAATGTTCTTAGATTGCCATTCAAAAAGTGCATTCGGATGCCTAATTTGGAATAAATATTTATATTTTAATTGATTTGTAAATAAAATTATATTAATTATAATAATTTGTCTATTATTTGTTCTCCCTCAGAGATATTAAGTAGTATAACCCACACATAAATAATAGTCCAGCCGTTTTTTCGTGAAAAAATTACACATACACAGTACATACTTAGTGTGGAATAAGCTCAAGGAGACAGAAAGAACACACAAAATTTCGCCTTTATAATATTAGTGAGATAAGTAGGACATTTAGTTCCAAATTAAATATCCTACTTAATATTGATTAAGAATATTTAGTTTCAAAGAGACTTTATTTTATGGATAAAATAAATATTTCTTGAAGGTTGACTTTCACGAAATGATAAACATATTTAAATTGTATTTAAGTGATTCTTTGCATATAGAATGTCACTTAAATATAACTTAAACATTTCGTAAAAATCAGCCAAGTACAATTTCCTTCATTTTAATATTGAATGTTGGGTTACTGGGTAAAATAATTGAATTCTAATTGCGGCCCTGTCTTTTTGTTATTTTTTGTGAGGTTTACTTGACGATAGATGGCGGCCTGTTCCTAAAATTATTATGAAAACTATAATAATATTGTTTTGGCGATTAAAATTTCTTTGTCTGAATGTATTTGCTTCATGAGATAGACGCTCCGATGCTATGGATGGCATCACATTTCATTTGTAAGTAATTTTACACCTAATTTATTAAAATAGTTCTAGAAAAATCTCATTACGTCCGCTTTCAAATATAATTAAATATATTCCACACTAGATGGCGACACTTTGTGTCCTGTGAACTAAAAATATAAAGGTACGTAGAGCTCGGTAATGATAAAATAATGATACGAAGGTGCTGAAATTTGTTTTGCATTCAGACATAAAGAAATTTTAATCGCCAAAATATTATTTTTATAGTTTATAACATTTTGTGGACATGCCGCCATCTACGGTCACGGTAGCTAAGCTACATTACAACATCGATATGGAAAGATTGGAGTAGTTTTACTATTTATCAGTAGATGTAGTGTAAAGTGGGCGGGGCTTTGCATCCCCTCACATTTGATACGCGATGTTACATAGCGAAATTTAATTACAACGTCTCCTCTTTGTATTTGTTTCATGGGAACTACAAATATAAAGGTACGTAGAGCTCAGTATTGGTAAAATAATCATACGAAAGTGTTCAGATTCAAATTTGTTTTGCATTCAGTCCTAAAGAATTTTTAATCGCCAAAATATTATTTTTATAGTTTTCAAGGTAGCTAAACTACATTGCAACATCGATATGGAACGATGCGAGTAGTTTTACTTATTTATCGGTAGATGGGAAATAGTAAAATGGGGCTTAACACCTCCTCACCCCGCAAGTTGTCACGCGTTGCTGCATAACGAAATCTAATTATAACACCTCTTTGTATTTGCTCCGTGTTTTGAATAATCACAATATAAAAATAAGCGTGAGCGTCGGACTCACCATGTAGAAAGTGCTTGTTCTTGAGCTGCATGAGCTGCGACAGGACTGTATATTCATAGATCGCTGGTTCACATCCAGCTCGAAGGACTAATAAATGTGGGGTGTAATTCCCACACTTGTTGATAGATAATATAAGATGATAATATAAAGGTTGCTATGATATGACAATTGATATGATATTAGTATGATAATAAAACGACTGCTTGATATGAATGCATGCAATGCACTGATCGTTGAAACTGCGCATAAAAGTGCTGTGTTAATAAAAGTGCTAAGTTATCAAAATTAAATACGTGTACGTAATTGTGAAATATGTGCGTTTCATCGTACAGATGCAATGGTGTGAGTATGAGAGTCGGACTCACCATGTGAAACTGCTTGTTCTCGAGCTGCATGAGATGCGATGGGATGTCTCACTCGCGCTATAATGGTGTAATAGTGCAATGGTGTGTGGTGAGTATGAGGATCGGACCCACCATGTCGAACTGTTTGTTCTCCAGCTGCATGAGCTGCGAGAGGATCTCCTGCTCGCGCAAGCGGTAGAGCGCGCGCAGCTCGTCGCGCGGCTCCTGCTCGCGCTGCTCGCGCACCTTCTCCCAGTCCTGCGCACAATCACAACGTTTTAAGCATCGGTTTAGCCCCCCCCCCTACTCCCTCCATTCCCCACTTTCGTGCTGTGTCATTGCGTGGTAAGAGAACCACGCATTATATAAAATGTCAGAAAAATCTTACGGCTTCCAGTAGATGGTGGTACAATATAATGTATTAATAAATATAATAAGAAATTTTCTATCACGAAAACTCATAAGTGGCAAGGCTGCAGCAATGCTTTAAGCCAGTGGCAGGTTCTTACTTAATGTAAACCGCAAGCCCGGTCGTGAATGGAATGCTACTGTCACATATTGTCTGGTGTTGCAAAAAGCCACCTAGCAACGTTGAACTCCGTGGAGATACGTGGGAAGAGGATTACTGGTAACTCTGATTTAGTTCAAACCACTCTTGTCAGCCTCATTTTACGCTGGTATTCCGTGAGAGCGTGGTCCTTCCCCGGTCGAACCGACCCATTCGTGCTAAAACTATATAATGGCAGCATAACCATATATTTTCCTACATGGTAGAGCTAAACTTAGAAAGTATCCATCCATCCATCGACTACAGCCTATCAAAGTCCACTACATAGGCCCATAGATTGCCTCAAAGGGCAACGCTTGGCAAATTGACAACCAGTTTTTATTTTCATTGTTAGACGCTGCTGCCCATCTGCTGGTTTATTTTCCTCTGTCGTCTCTTACACGCCCACAGTTCAGTATGGGGTAGTGGATATTCTTAAACCACCTCTACACGGTTCACGGTTTTCATTCAAATTCATACACATACATATACAGGTTGTCCAGTAAATAATGGATATCATTTGTTACGCTAAGGCAGTGACATTTAATGTCTAGGACTTCATCACCAGTTTCCATCAGGTGGGATTGAGAACTGCTACTAACCACAGGTACATACAGTGTGCGCAAAGGCATCTCAGAAAATAATACAAAAAATATATATGTCGTAGGATAATTTGTAAACCGAATTTTCCGCAAAAATCTAGGGATATCGCAAAAACACGGATAAATAAATAATTTTGAAAGAGCTGATTATTCTTCCATCAATGATTATCTTTCCAAAATTGACTGAGTAGCAGAATTTTCTCAGTACAAATATTTAAATCAAATAGTTGAACATTTTTATGTTTTGATCAGACATATTATATCGAAATTTGTGCCCCAAAAAAGAATAGTCAACCACGGTAAGTATCCGCCATGGTTCAGTAACAGTTTAATCCGCAGACTTCGCGAAAAGAACAAGATTCTAAAAAGATACAAAAAGTATAGAAATCCTTTAGATAAGATTGAGTTGAGTATTTTGTCTAAAAGGTGTCAAAAACTTGGTACTACCTGTTACAATGCATACCTTAATAACGTTGAGGATAGAATATCTAGAAATACAAAAGCATTCTGATCTTTTGTTAAAAGTAAACGTAGTGGCTGTAGTTCATACCCATCCAGTATGACGAATGGAGATATGATTGCAAATGATGGGCCGAGCATTTGTAATCTTTTTGCTAGTCACTTTGCCGAAGTTTATACCAAAGCCACAATGTCACCAAGTCATAATTCATCAGTTCTCGAAGGTACTGCTAATAGTAGTTCATCATTCCGTAGTCTCTATTTTCATCAAGAAGCAGTGGTTCGCGCTCTGAAGTCCCTGGGCGTAGATAAAGGCGCTGGACCCGACGGTATTCCACCCTATTTCCTGAGAAATTGTGCCTTATTTATTGCTGTACCTCTCTGCTTTATATACAATACATCTTTAGCAAAGGGCATATTTCCCAGGAAAATGGCAAAGGTGTTCCAGTTTTTAAGTCTGGTTATAGTGATTTGATTATAAATTATAGACCGATTACTATCCTTTCCACAATGTCTAAGGTATTCGAAATTTTGATCTGTCCATATATTTCCGCTTATGTGAAACCATTTATCACGGTCCATCAACATTGTTTTTTGAAATCTAGATCGACTGCCACAAATTTGGTTTCATTTGTTGAAACTCTAACGGAGGCCATTGACGCTAGCCAGGAAATAGACGTAATTTATACTTACTACATACTTGTGACAAGGATTAAGAAAGCAATGCTTCGGTGGTTTGGTCATGTAGAAAGAATGAACGAGGAAAGAGTGACAAAGCAAATTTATGTTGCAGAAGTGAACGGCAGGGTCGGGAAGGGACGCCCTAGACGAAGGTTTATCGAACAAATCGGCGATACATTAAAAATGGGCGAGATTAGGAGTACCCTTAACCGACGAGCGTGTATGCGTAGATATATGGATGTAAGAGAGGCGAGAGAGGTATGTCAGGATCGCGCCAAATGGAAGTCCGTAGTCGCCGCATACCCCTCTGGGTGACAGGCGTGAGTGTTTATGTATATATTTATGTATTATACAGATCTCAGCAAAGCCTTTGATAAGGTGTCGCACGAAGTATTGATTAAGAAGTTGTCAATTTATGGTATTAATGGAACCTTGTTAAACTGGTTTTAATTCTAAGGAATATGACATAGTTTCGGGAGTACCACAGGGTTCAAACCTGGGTCCTATTTTGTTTAACATTTTTGTTAATGACGTTGTTGATTGCATCTTGTATTCTACTCCGTACTTGTACGCCGATGACTTGAAGTTACTACGAGTAATAAAAACAACACAGGATTCCATATTATTACAAGTGGATATAAATAGTCTAAGTCGTTGGTGTGAACGGAATGGCATGCAACTAAATGTAGGCAAATGTGTTTATGTCATATTTACCCGAAAACAGAAAACTTTTGACTCTGCTTATTTTATTAATGGTATAAAATTACAGGAAGCGGACCATATAAGAGATCTTGGTGTGATAGTTGACAGAAAGTTAACCTTTGCTGCCCACTTAGAAAGTATTATAAAAAAAGCTCCAAACATGCTTGGATTTATTATTAGAATGGGCAAGCAGTTTCGGAGGTTGCAAACAAGAAGGCTCCTGTACAACTCTTTTGTCCTGAGTATTCTGCAATACTGCACTGTAGTATGGCGACCATACTATGCATGTCACTCTTTAAGGTTGGAACGGATTCAGGAGATATCTTTGGCACCTAGCCTACTCAGCCAATAAATGTAAAAAAGGGTTTTCTTACAAAAACAGATTGAAACACTTTAAGTACACTACCTTGGAAAACCATCGTATAATGCTTGATCTCGTCTTTTTCTACAAATTATTTAACAACAAAATAGATTGCCCAGGCTTACTGAGAAAATTTAGATTCAATGTACCACACAAATTATCTAGGACTAAAATATCACCATTAGTTCCTCCCTTGCGCACAACAGTTTTGGGCTCAAGTTCATTTGTCCCTAGAGCAAGCAGACTTCTAAACTGTTATGGTAAAAAAATAGATATCCATGGTACAAGTCTGAATACGTTTCGTAAACACTTGCAAAAAACCATATTCGAGTTATAATTAAGTAATTGTTATGTTCATTTATATACTGTGCTGTTATTGTTTCCTTTTCTCTCTTTCTTTTTCTCATTTATTGTGAACACATTAAGTCACTTATAAATATTGGATGTTACTACCCTTTATAGTTTGTGCATGTGGTGTTTACCTTAATTAATTGTGCATTTGGCTGTACATGTTATTGTTAAATACTCATTGATGTATTATTGTTACAATTACTGGTAAACCTAATATATAAAATTAATAAATAAAATTCGGTTTATCAAATTATCCTACGACATATACAAAGAAAATAAGTGACTTTAAACAAAGAACTTTTTACAGAATTTGGTACCTTTGCTCACATTAATACGTACTATAACTACATACATACTTATTATGTATATTTATCGTGATATGTTATAAGATGAATACAAATTATATACCTGTTCAGCTTCGATCCTTTGCATTTCTAGAGTGAGAGAGGTGTCGGCGATGCGTTCCTGTTCTTCTAGAATGAGCTGCATGTTGCGTGCACGCTCTTCGTATAACTGAACAGCTGCCATCTGAGCAATGACAATTATTTTATTTATTTTTTAAGAAAGGTAAGTGAAAAAAGCCAGGCTGTAGTTATACTAGGTGTCTATACCCCCACATCGGATATATTTATAGAATATGAGTGACAAATGAGTACACAGTCCACCTGATGTCAAGGGCCACAGCATCCATTTACCATCAGGTGGGACTTTGGGTTCATTTCTCTCCCCATTCTATAAAAAAGTGAATGTGACTTTAGGCATCTACATCTATTCTCAATTAGGAATCAAAATGCAGATATGTTGTCACCCATGAATACCTCATTCCCAGTAAAAAGAAAGATGGAATGCCTCATTCCCAGTAAAAATGGTCTCCAGTTCTCTACACTCATTATTTGAAACTCAGCATCATTAAGCTGCTATTTCACGCTGGTATTCTGTAAGAACTTAGTCCTTCCCTGGTCAAGCCGAAATATCCATTCGCAGAAATAGGTAAGAATTTATTAATTTATTCTTATGCCAAAAACTAATATAAAGGGATGATTCGAGCCCAGATGTTTCATCATCATCATTACAGCCCTGTACAAGTCCACTGCTGACCATGGACCTCCCCCAAGAAATGCCACAAAGTATGGTCCTGATTCACCTGCATTCATCGACTTCCTGCGTGTCTTATCAGGTCGTCACTCCATCTACACCTCGTACCGGCGGACGAAGTGTGGGGAGACGCCTTACACTTCGTACGCCGGTACGAGGCCGCCCCTCGAGAACCTTTTTTCCCCATCGGTTGTCGGTTTTTCGAGCTAAATGGCCGGCCCATTGCCACTTCAGCCTACTAATCCGTTGGGCTATGTCGGTCACTCTGGTTCTACTTCGGATATCTTCTTTTATAAGTTTATCACGCAGAGAAACCCCGAGCATAGCCCTCTCCATAGCTCGCTGAGCGACCTTGAGCGTCCTCATACCGCCCGCAGTGAAGGACCATGTCTCAGTTCGATAGGTCATCACTGGCAGTACAGTCTCGTTTTCAAGTTTTGAGGTATACCTGACGAGAAGATGTGCCGTAATTTCCCCAACGCAGCCCGGCCGATTTGAATCCGCCGATTGACCTCTCGGTCAAAGTTGGACTTGTTGGAAGTTGGACTTTGGGACAGATGGTCGCCCTCCCGGTGATAGAACAAGTTGCCGGATTCGAGGATTACCATGCCCTCGCCCTCTCTTCGGACCTCAGATAATCCTATAATATTCCAGCGCAACTTGTCTATCTCTTCTTCCAGCTCCTATCTTCTCGTCAGTCCTCAGGGTGCGTGCGTTATATGTTGCCAGGTCGAGTCGTCTTAGGTGGCAACCGAACCTCCATTGGAGATTCTTAGCACCCCCTGCCCCGCCGTTACCATGGTCGCCACCGTAGCCAGGAATAGCGGGATCACCGGGGCCTTGGGGCCGTCTCTTCGTAACTTTAATCATGTCAATCACCGCAGTTTTTTTTATTGTTGTTTTGCCGTTATCAGAAAGATGCTGCTGCCTATCTTCTGCCTCAGTTTCCATCTGTCGCCTCTTACGACACCCACGGGAAGATATGGGTCAGTGGGTATTCTTACCCGCCACTACACGGGACAGATGTTTTGAAAACGATAAAAATATTTTTCATATATTATTTACAACTATGTGCACACTGCACACATAACTACACTAAGACACATCATCCTCACACACGAAAGCACAAACTTCCTCACGCAATCACGCACGCAACCTGTACTGTTTTCATCACTAAAAATAATATATTTTTAAAACGTTTAAGTGAGAAAATAATCAAATGTGGGAATTTATCCAGAAAAATATAATATACACTGCTTCATATCGTCCTGCGAGTGTCGTAAGAGGGGACAGAGAGAAACTCAATTAGGAAATGGGCAGCAGTATCTGTATCCAGTTATCAAGGGACAAACCAAAATCATAAAAAACTGCAGTTGCCAACCCGTCTCCAAAGCATGACAACTGTGGCAAAATTTTCCCAATGAGGCAACCTTTGGAGAAGGTTTATGTTCAGCTGTAAACTTTTATAGGCTGTAATGGATGGATGGACATACATACATACATTCAAAAAACGTTACCCTCCCGGCAGTCGGATAAAAACGTGTTTTTTTATAGGATAGGGTGACAAATGAGCACAGTTCACCTTCAAGAAAAGAGCCTACTCCTTTTTAAAAGGCCGGCTAAGCATTTGCAATTCCCCTGGTTCCCCTGGTGTTCATGGGCGGCGGTAGTCACTTACCATCAGGTGAGGCGCATGCTCGTTTGCCCACTCTCCTATAAAAAGAAACCTGATGGTAAGTGGTTGCTGTGACCCATAGACATCTACATTCATCCACAATAAAGAATCCAAAATGCAGATGTGTCGTCACTGGTGAGAACTAAGATGGAATGCCTCTTTTCCAGTAAAATGGATCTCCGGTTCTCTACACTCACCATATGAAACACAGCAGTGTCAAGCTGCCATTTTACGCTGGTGAGAGCGTGGTCCTTCCCCGGTCGTGGTTATCCACGATTTCCACTAGAGTTACACAATTGCATTCCAAGTCAGAATTAAATAACACAAAAATAAAACACCATTTATTTCTCAAAATTAAACTAAAAATATATACCTTACTACTGCGGTCAATTACGGGTTCCCCAGGCTTTGCGGGTCGAGGTGGCGTTGTCTGTACCGGCGGGGGAGACGGGTTCAGGTCGGACCAGTTCGGGTAGTCGATCTCGCCTGATTTTTATAATTTCATTAATTTGTATAAAAGCATTCCTTGAGTTAACTTTGTTTGGGGGCGTAAAAGAACCCTTAACCCATGTTGTCTCGTGGGCGGTGTCCGACCGAAAGTCAACTTTTGGTCGAAGCGGATGGCTTCTGAGAAGGAAAACTAAGTAAATCAGTTGAATATTTTCTAAAATTAATCATATAAATGATATTAAAACTTTTACTTTGTTTAATGACTGCACAATATAAAAAAGTAATTTTTATCGTCTTCTAGATGAACCAAAATATGCTTAAAACTTAAATATGATAAAAATTTAGTTATTATATTATTATTATTATTAATATAGTTTACACACAGATAGAAATATGACATCACGCATATGTCAGATTTAAAATACCTACAAACGCGACGGCGAGTAGCAACAAAGGAACGAAAGTCTATAAATATGACAATTGCATCAAATCCTCCCTATAACCTATACCACCCATATTACAAATGTTATACAGCCTATTAGAAAAACTTTTTTTACAAGATTTTTCCGGACCGATACGTCTTAGGGACCTTCAAGAAAAGAGACTACTCTTTTTTAAAAGGTCGGCGACGCATCTGCAATTCCCCTGGTGTTGCAGTTGTTTATGTACGGCAGCAGTCACTTACTATCAGGTGAGCCGCATACTGGTTTGCCCTTCTGCTATAAAAAAAAATAGTATCTGTGTCACGAAAAAGTCCCTCAGAAGTATACAAACTAAAATGTAAAGTATGGATTTGATAGCAAAATGTCTTTTAGAATAAGTGTCAAACGAGCACACAGTCTACCTGATGGTAAGCGGATGCTGATCCATGGGCCACGGACATCTACATACATCCTCATGTCATCATTCAAAATGCAGATGGGTTGTCACCCCTGAGAACTAAGATGGAATGCCTCTTTTCCAGTAAAACGGGTCTCCGGTTCTCTACGCTCAACATACGAAACACAACACCATTAAGCTGCTATTTTACGCTAGTATTCTGAGAGAGCGTGCTCGACCGGGGAAGAGCTACAACCATAATATAGCTGCAGCGTGGCATGCATGACTAGATTACAATTTTATATTGAATATCCGCGAGGTACCTTACCCAACATATCATCCAGCATGCTGTCTTGACTGGGCGGCACAGCGTGAGGGTTAGTGGTGAACGCTGGATACTTTAACAGCCAATCTTCGTAGCCACCGTATAGTGCTAACGGTGGACGGGCATAATGAACTTTCACATCCCACTGAAAAATAATATTACACCAATAATTAAAACAGTAGAATTAAAACTCTATTTGTTTTCAAATAAGATTTAAACAAAATAGAACTGTTCCAAATAGCTAGTCAAATATAAACTCGCACGCACACTCATACGTACATACATACACACGCACACACACACAGGCACGCACACGCACGCTCGCACGCACGCACGCTCACACACACACACAGACACACACACACACACGCACGCACGCACACGCACACGCACACACACACACACGTACAAACACCCACGAACAAACACCCACGCACAAACACCCACGCACAAACACCCACGCACAACACCCACGCACAAACACACACGAACAAACAAACACGAACAAACACACACGTACAAACAAACACGAACAAACACCCACGCAGAATCACCCACGCACAAACACCCACGCACACACCCACGCACAAACACCCACGCACACACCCACGTACAAACTCCCACGCACAAACACCCACGAACAAACACCCACGCACAAACACCCACGCACTATTCAGTGATGAAGGAAATATATGTGAGAAACTTTAAAAAAAGTAAGGACATGTGAATTCCACGAAAACGCACGTGTTCAGCAGAATTATCTAATGACTGGGTCCAGCAGTTCGACGTTTGTAGGTTGTTACTTAAGACATATCTGAATTTACTGAGATGAAGTGGCAGTATACATTACTCCATATCATCCTGTAGGTGTCTGAAGAGGCGACAGATGGAAGCTGAAATAGCAACAGCATCTTCCCAAATATAAATCAATAATAATAATCAAAAAGCTGTGGTTACAAACCTGCCTGCTAAGCGTGGAAACTATGAGGCAACCTATGGTGTAGGTCTGTGTCAGCAGTTTACTATATATAGGCTGTGATTTTTTTTTATAGGATAGGGTGAAGAACGAGCACACAGTCCACCTGATGGTAAGTGGTTGCTGTGACCCATAGACATCTACATCTATCCTCAAGAAAGAATCAAAATTCAGATGCTTTGTGACCTGTGAGAACTAAGATGGAATGCCTCTTTTCGATAACGAATATGAAACACAGCAGCGTTAAGCTGCTATTTTACACTGGTATTCTGTGAGTATGGTCCATCCCCGGTCGAGTCCACCCATTCGTACTACAACTATACCAGTAATATAGCTGCAGCATGGCTCTACCATGTAAAAATCTAATAATAACAATTAAAAAAAACTGCAGTTACAAATCTACTTGCTAAATGTGAAAAATATGGCAAATATATCGCCCTATGAGACAATCTGTGGTCTAGGTCAGCAGTGGATTATTGACAGGCTGTGATGAATACTGCTTACCTAGTCCTGAACTGATTACTGACATTATGAACTATGATTTACACACCTTTAGGAGTATAGTCTTCAGCAAGTGAAGGGTTTCGCCTGGTATGACAGCCGTGCTGTTCCAGTCCAGCATAACAATCAGTTCCATAGTAGCTCGCTCTCCCCATACTGGTCTAGAAGCTGCCGGAAGATTCTGCTCCAGAGCATTAGCTGATTGCCTGTAAATTGCTACATATTAGGTCCAATGTAATTGCAGTTCAATATAGAATTTTTTGAAATTGTATTATATTTAAACTAGATTTTCCTGCGGCTCAATTTATTTTGCGGGGTTCAATTTCGGCACTTGCTTCACTTCCCTTAACTTCAGCCAAAACATTTGCCCACTATAGCGGAAGCCAAAGGCTTCGCCGAAGCCTCGGTCGGACACTACTCATATTTGATGTAAGAATCGACTATGGAAGTGGTCCGAAAATACTTTTGACTGTGAGTTACAGTCCTATGGTAATTGCAGTTCAATATGGATTTTTTTATATATGCAAATTGTATTATATTTAAACTAGACTTTCCCGAGGCTTTGCTTGTGTAGATTTCACTTTACCAATATCATTAACAGAAAGAGAAACAAACTTTTTTATTCAATATTGATTATATATAATACTTATTGAAAGTCACTCTTTTGTTTAATTACCACTGGTTCGAAATTAGAGTTCCATGTCAAAATTCAGGACCTTCTCGTTGTCTATTAGTGTATTTGACTGCCTGTCACAAATGGTTATCTCAAAGGCTTGATAATAAATAATACATTCATTCATAATTTTTTTACATTAATTATACATTTGCCAAAATTATACAATTTTTTTAATAACTTGGATCATAGTGCCACCATGGTCCCGTTAAGTGAAATCTTGTTCACAATAAAGATAGTGAAGGCCTTCTCTCATTTAGAGAAAGTTATGGACTGATTGCTCCAGTGCATGCTAGCAGACATTACATGTTACATCACACTCGAAATTATTCACTATTCAGACACAGGTTTCTTCATATTCTTTTCCTTCACATCGAGAATGAGGTAAATCAGCACTTTTATTGAAGAATATCTGTTTCCATGTTTAATTCCACATCTAATTAATCATTGTTGATTTAAGTCTGTTTTCTTGGGGCTTGTTGAAAATTCGAAGAAACTGTCAGACCGTCAAAATAAAAATCCACCACTTTGTTTATATTTTGCTGTATGTGCAGCATTGGCACTATAACAGAACTTATATTTGAATATAACTAAATTTTCCCGTGATCTTAGACACAGTGACTATTAAACAATTTGTATCCTAGCACACCTGCGACATAGTATTAGATCATTCAAAGTCACACTGTTGCTCAGCTATTGACAGATATTTATAAATACAATATTCCTACAATACAAAACTAAGTTGCCGTATGGTAGCGGCGAAAGAGAACCCATTAACCCTTTTTTTATAATTTTTCATCCTGTTCATGTCATTAAAGACAACTATGGGGAATGCTAGAATATAATGGCTTCCAGGAAATAGCGGTATAAGCATTTTGCTTCTGTCAAACATATGGATATTGGTTAGTTATAATATATTGCTTCACAAATGGCACACTAATTCTACCAACTTAAAGCTAAGAAGGAAAAAGTGCTAGAGACAGTTTTTGTTTTGACAGCTCCGTGGCGCAGTGGTTTAGCAATGAGTTGTTTCGCTACGGGCCGCAGGTTCGAATCCCGCACGGAGCAAGTATTTGTATGGCCTATAAATAATTGTTGCGGTTCGGGATGTTTGTCCTCGTACAATCTATGTTTGTAAACTGCCTCCACGATACAGGAGAAAGTCCTAGTGTAGGGGTAATGTTTTATAAAAAGATTTTTTTTATAGTATGACGATAATGAACACAGTCCACCTAATAGAATGCAAAATGAACCGTAATATAAATTACTCAGAATAACAAAGGCAGGAGTCATAGGTGGAAGATATCTGACGCCGTGTGTGATTGATAATTCAGCGGCCAAGAGTTTGAATCATTGATGTAAATCGTGTCACCAAGATGAAGACTCATATCCAGCAGTGAAACTTTACAGGCTGTAAAAAAAATAGTAGATGTAACTAAGTATAAAAGTCCTTACCCAGGTGACATACACTCTTTTGGAATGCTAATACATGCAGGATAATTTATATGGGATTCTAAGTAGTCATCGCCAGGACGCGCATCGAGGATCATCACTTTCAATTTTCCACTTTTCAGGATAGAATACAGTTGCTCACTTTTTATCGTCACTTCATCTGGCCCTGCAACACAAATATGATTAACAATTTTTATTAGGGATAACTATATTAATGGTGACGGAGAACATCAAAGGTGATATATCTGGGACTTACTAAGCCAAGCCACCTGCCGTGCATTGAAATTATAGTCCTTTCTACAATGAGATGGTCAACATCCAGCAGCAGTAGACTATTAGAAGCTGATAAATAAAACAAACGGAACCTACCTTTCTAATTTTTTTTAAAATAATTGACACAATATTTTTTTTTCTGAATGTGTATGCTGTTGGCCCTGCGGCCTTGACAGCTTCATCTAACTAGGCTCGTAAGTGAGGACTTACGAACTATTGAGTGCAACGATTTTGTCGGCGGTTAGGTGGCGCGAAGCGCCGCTTCGCCGACTGCAGTCCCGAGGCACCCCGACCCCTGCTTTCGGAGTGAGGCTCCTCGAGCTAGGGGGGGGGGGGGGGGGGGCTCGATGCGATTCAAGGGCCTCTCAGAAGGAGGTACGAACCTCGGCTTGAATCACTATCGCAATTTTGTTAACGGGTCGCAAAAGTTAGAAACGCCCCATATCACGGGTGTTAAACCTCGTGTACGGAGTGTCTGTGACGACTCATTCACCGGCGAATGCGGTTTGCCCTAGTGTTCTGTACTAGAGTAGTGTCTGAGTGTGTGTTTATGGTTACTAAACTAGTTCCCTCTCCTGTGGAGGGGGGGGACGGGATCGACCTATTCATGGAAGTGATCTTGTCGTCGGGATCAAGAAGAACGTTCTTGGGACGTCTCCTGCAGGGGGACACAATATAAAAACCACTTGAGGTAAGTTCCTACAGAAGCACATGGTCACCTTACACCAACTTTAAGAAAAGGAGATTTCAGATGTGTTGTCACCACTGAGAAATAAGATGGAGTGCCTCTCAGCGTCTAATTATACTGGCTCTCTATACACTTTACACCAGAATACAGTAGTTCATGCACTGCTGCCCGGCAACAGATCATTGGCATAAGACTATAATACCAAAACAGACAGACTCTTAGCCACTAAATGAGGTAACAGATATATAAAAGTAAAAAAGTAAAGTTGCAGCCTATTTACATTCCACTGCTGGGCACAGGTCTCCTCTCATTTTTGAGAGGGTTTTAAGGAAAGGAAATGTCCACCGCGCTGCCCCAATGCGTGTTGGTGAACTTCACATGTCTTCGAACATTTTTTTTTCTTATTTCTCAGACATGCAGGTTGGCTTAGCTTTCCATTGACTCCCATATCAACCCCCAACTCGATGGGAGTCAATGGAAAGTCTTACCTGCAGGTTTCCTCACAATGTTTTCCTTCACCGCCGAGCACATGGTAAATCAGCACTTAAAATTGCAATTAACATTTTCATAACAAGTGCCGACGGGGAAAAAACCCAGGTTGCTAGAGTACTGTGAAGCTTACAACGAGCTCTAACCATCTGAGCTACCACAGCTTACCAGATATATATCTGAATCATTATTTTAAAAATAAGTCTTTTTAACATTAATAATACTCCATGCAATCTTCAAATGCTTGGGTCAAATGGTAGATTTGAATCCACGAATTTCTAATCTTCAAATACTTAGGTTGAATGGTAAATTTGAACCCACAACTTTCTGAGTTTGCAGTATGCATCTTTAACCAATAGGCTACTGTAATTATTGTATTAGTACAGTATAAAATATTTTCTGTGGTAGCTCAGCGAGCCATGGTATCTCAGGGCTTAAGCACTTGCTGTAAATATCACAGTAAGTGAGCAACTAGGGTACAATCACCACCAGTACTGTGTACTGATTTAACAAATCATGCTCAGCGGTGAAGGAATAAATTGTAAGGATAATAAGCATATCTGAGAAACAAAAGAAAATATTTTGGAGACATTGAAGTTCACCAATGGTATTGGATATTCTTAACTACCACTACACGGCACAGTAAACATTACTTTGCCCTAAAACCCTCTCAGAAATGAGAGTAGGCATGTGCCCAACCGTTGGACGTATATATGCTGTAAGTTTTAAATTTAGAATATTTTCACTAACCAGGCAGTCCTAAAGATTGTGGTTGTTCATGGACAGGAATAGACTCAAGAGCTTTCTTTCTGTTTTCATCTATCTTCTGTTTAATCAACTCATTCTCTTTTATATCATGCAACCACTTTTCTTTCTGTTCTTTTGCATATCTGTAATACATGTGTTTTATTAGGAATTATGAAATATAACTGCATGTTTATTTATCATAATATAGAATGTAAATAAACAATGTCATTACCTAATCATGTTTCTTATAAACTAATTATAATTTGACAATGTTGCCAACCCAATCACAAGGTTATACAAGTAATAAGTTTTTTAATACCATTTACATAAAATAATAATAATAATTTGTCTACATAATATAATGTGTAGTATTTTACATACAAGATAAGATATCTATTAATTTACATTTATAGGACCATATATAATATGTTATTATAATTAATTATCACATTATGGTCACACAGTAGGAGTTCAATTACAGGCTCGGAAGCATTCAACTGCAGTGTAGTCAACATTTATCATAGCACAAATGGGTCGGCTTGACCAGGGATGGATTATATGGAGTATAGAGAACTAGTGACCCTTATTATCATCTTGGCCTTCACAGGTGACAACTCATCTGCATTTAGATTCATAATTGAGGATAGATGTAGATGTCTATGGGCCAGAGCAACCCCTTACCATCAGGTGGACTGTGGGCTCATTTGTCACCCATATTCTATGAAAAAAAAATCTCCCAATTTGACAAAACACTTGTTGCCTACTTAGTTTGAATTTAGCATAATTATTATGCAATTTGTAAACCAATATGTTAAAATTAACCTCAATTCATTTAAATTTGAAAAAAAAAATTATCCACTTTTCATTGTAGGATAATATATGATGAAGTTATAAATTCAGTTGTTGTTATCTTGATATTGTGATATTGCTTAGACCACTCAAAAGGGTCAGTTAATTCAATAAAAAAAAGTAAAAACAACTTCAACAAAGTAAAAACAATAAAACTATTTGCCACATATTTTAATAGCTTCTAATGTACATGCCAAGTCTAAGTATATTGAAGAATTATACCCCCAACTTCAGAAGCTATTAGTATTATATGGAAATTAATTAAAACTTTTTAGTTTTTTGGAGTTGGTTTATATTTTTTTAAAGTTTTATTATTCCTTCTTCTTTCATCACCAATGAGGTGATCGCTACCAAGCTATTTCTAATTTATTGTGTTGTTAATTTGTGTAACATACATGATTGTAAGCTGTTATTTAAAAAAAAAAAGTCCCGCTGGGTTTCTTGCTGGTTCTTCCCAGGACAGAGGTTTTTTTTTTTCGAACCAGTGGTAATCATACAAAAGAGTGACTTTCAATAAGTATTATTTATAATCTATATTGAATAAAAAAGTTTCTGTTTCTGTTTCTGTTTCAAGTATTTTTACAATAAACCAGTTTTATTCTTGATTATAAAGTTTTGTGTAATAGTTAAAAAGTTACTTAACATTCATACCTATCAATTAAGCTCTTCTTTAATTTTTCAGCAGCATCAATAGCTTTGTTTGGATTTTTAGCACCAAGCATGTTATTAAAGTAAGTTTTGTCCTTCAAATATTCCTTATCCTTGCTGATGAATGCTACAACACGGAGATATTTCATGTAATAAACGTACGAATTTTCCTCATCGCCTCTGTCCCTTTCCTCCTCAGCTTTCTCAAACAGTTTCTGTGCAGTTTTGCATAACCTGTAATTAATTCTTTATAAGTAGTCTTTTTTGGTATACAATTTCACAGGCTTTAACATATTGATCTACTTACAACGTAGCCCTTTTTGATTTCAAGTCTGGGACATTGTGTAATTTGTCTAAATCTTCGATGCATTTTCCCAGATGAAGTTGTAGGCGACGCGTCTCCGTCATTTTGATAATTTTGTCGTTCCGTAAAGAATCACTGTCGCAGCAACAGCTTAACGCCACCAGCCTTTCTTAATGCTACATTTGATGCTCAGAACATTATTTGATGTTATTAGGTAACGATCAGAAATTTAATTACATCGGAACAAACAAAAAGCTATGACAATTGACAATTGACAATAAACGAAGATAAAAACGTCAGAATTTTATTTCAATTGTCATTTTTTTTCACATATTGTGGCGTTGGCTATAAGGTCTTTAGCCAAAAAAAAATTAAACAATAATTACTGTATTCTATACTCAACATATCTTCTCTAGTTAACTTCCTCACATTAAGTAGCTCCCTTATATTGCTAAGATTTTGACGACAGATTAAGTCAGCGGACCACCAACCATGATAATATCTACAGCACTACATGGGGCCAGGTAGCGTAGCACCGTGATTCTGATTCTTCTATCTTTTCAACTAAGCATCTGTTACAGAAACAACTGACGCTTCGCACCGGTTTATACACGCCACGTTATTCCTCATCTCCCATATTATGGCTTCATCATGCCATCATGCTGGACACGTATTATCGTTTGTGGTGTGTCTTTCCTAGTGTACTGGTGGTGGGAGTAGTGGTGCTGGGATTAGTGGTGACCGGGATAGTGCACGCAATTTAGGAAGGGCGGAAGGTGCTTTATTTTATTGAGCGGATATAGGCAAAGTAAAATTTCCAACTTGCCATTACCTTCTTGTTCTCCAAAATAATAGAAACTATTATAAACTGCCAGCTCATGAGGTACCTTGAGGAAGACCAGCTGATTACTGACCGCCAATACAGTTTTTGTCGGGGTCAATCAGCTGGTGATCGTCTGGTCTATATGACTCATCGCGGAGAGAGTAGAGTACAAGGGGCATTGACCGTTAGTTTGGACATAGCGAAGGCCTTCGATCGGGTTTGACACAAAGCGCTTCTTTCGAAGCTCCCTGTTCCTGTATTATTGTTTAAATAATGGTATGAAGGTGATCTTGATACAAACATAATAGATACATGAAAGTTGTGCGATTGTATATATTAAATGTCTGGGCATTTAGATTATTATTAGTGGAAACAATTAATTATTAGTGCTCCGATGGTCGAACTTAGAATATATTGGCGTATAGACTGACATAGTGTGCAAAAGTGAAAATAATTTCTTTTGGCAAAAATGTAAGATAGAAAAGAATACCAAATCTAATTACTTTGTAACCATATTTTGTAACTTTTCAGATCATAGGTAATAGTGTTTATGTTTATGTTGTGTATTATACCTGTGCGCGGCTGCGTCCGCACCCAATAATAATGTTTGCAATTAAAGCAGTACATCGACAGCCGTTGAGTGTTTAACTAGTCCTCTGCGCTCCGTATCCGCGAACATAACATTGGCGACGAGTTCTTACCCGCGTTTATACAAAAAAAAATGTCGTTTAGCTGTGGCCCCTTACCAATTTTTAACCACGAATTGCAATCGTGGAAGATATTTAGAACCAGAATTACGCAATGGTTTATTGCAAACGACATAAATGCGTCAAATGATGCTGCAGGAGTTAAAAGGCGAGCAATTCTGCTCAGCGCATTCGCCGATGGTACGTTTAAGCTTGCCTCAGATCTCGCTGTACCAAAGGATCTCCAGCAAATTCCGTTTGAGGATATCCTAACCATCTTGGATACTCATTTCACACCGAAGCAGGTTGGATTTAGCGAGCGCCACAATTTTTATGCCGCTACCCAACAGCCCACCGAGTCACCATCGCAGTGGGCCGCTAGACTGCGCGGCCTAACCGTTCACTGCCAATTTTCCAATGTGGAAGAGGCACTGAGGGACCGGTTTATTATGGGTATGCTGCCAGGAGTGGAAAAAGAAAAGTTATATACGCAGGATATTTTGGGTATAACATTAGCAAAAGCTGTTGAGCTAGCGGAGAACGTACGAAGCGCGCGGGCGATTGCCGCCAGCGCTGCTGCCACCACTACCGTCATCACCGATGCCACCACGGACCAGCTATACAAAATTGGTCAGGATTCGAAGTGCGCGCGTTCTCGTCAAAAGTGCGCGGTATGCGGTTATACGAGTCACAGTGCGTCGGAGTGTCGTTTCGCTAATTACAGATGTAAAAAGTGTAATATGAAAGGACACTTGCGTAGAATGTGCAAAAAGGTGAATTACGTAAATACGAGTGAGGTGGGCGAGGACAGCGATGACGGTAAGATATTTAATATACGATCAGTTAGGGGCGAGCCTTTAGTAGAAACCGTTACTGTCAATGGCATAGATTTAGAATTTCAAATCGATAGCGGATCAGCGGTGACTGTGATATAGGAAAGAACATATAAATTGCATTTCCACGATGTACCATTATCGTTCACTAAAAAGAAATTAGTGAGTTATACCGGTGAAGTTTTAGGTTGTGCCGGCCGTGTACAGATGTCGCTTCAGTGGCGGGGCAAAACGTGTATGACAAAACGATAGACGTTTATGTAGTTCGTAATGGCGGCCCGCCACTGCTCGGTAGGGATTTTATTGCACGTTTCGAACTTCAACTGACGCCAATACATTATTGTAAGCAAATACAGAATGAAATTGAAACGCTACACATACGTTATCCTCAGGTATTTTTGGGAGAACTTGGGTGTTTCAATAAATATGAAATTAAGTTAACCTTGAAAGATAACGTTAAGCCATTGTTTTTTAAGGCGCGTCCTATTGCTTTCGCCTTGAGGGATAAAATAGATAGCGAACTAAAGAGGTTGGTCGATCTAGGGGTACTTCGTCCGGTTAGTTATTCTGAATACGCATCCCCAATCGTACCCGTATTAAAACGCGATGACTCTGTCAGAATATGTGCAGATTATTCTGTTAGCTTAAACAAACAGTTAGTTATGGACCAATATCCATTGCCGACGGTTAATGAACTTTTTTCTAAGTTACATAGGGGCCAATACTTTACTAAGCTTGACCTCTCAATGGCGTATAATCAATTTTGCCTAAATGAAGAATCTCAAAAGCTAACCTGTATCAATACCCATCATGGTTTATTTTCTTATACACGTTTAGTTTTCGGCTTAGCTAGTGCGCCGGCTATTTTCCAGCGTGCAATGGAATATGTACTAGCAGGATTAAATGGAGTACATTTTTTACTGGATGATATTCTGATAACCGGCAATGAGGATGCCGAGCACCTAGACAGGCTACACCAGGTGCTACAAAGATTACAAGACGCGGGCTTAACGTTGCAAAAAAAGAAGTGCAGTTTTTTTAAAGACGAAATAAGTTACCTGGGATACGTCATAAATAGAAACGGTTTAAAGAAGTCACCGGAAAAGGTTAAAGCTATATTAGAAGCGCCAATCCCCACAAATGTTAACCAATTACAATCGTTTTTAGGCGTCGTCAATTACTACAGGTGTTTTGTTCCAAACGCATCATCTATTTTATCCCCCCTCTACCAATTATTAAAAAAGGGGATAAAATGGAAATGGTCTAAAGTAGAAAAAGAAGCGTTCGACAATATAAGAAAAATATTATCCTCGGAACAGGTTTTAACACATTTTAATCAAAATGAAACAATTATACTAACCGTGGATGCGTCACCTAACGGGTTAGGTGCTATATTATCGCGCAAAAAAATAGTGCAGGTATTGAAAAGCCACTCTCGTTTGCATCACGGACGTTAAATAATGCAGAGAAAAGGTATTCTCAAATACAAAAAGAAGCTATTGCTATCGTATTTGGAGTACGGAGGTTCCACCAATATTTATATGGTAGGTCTACGCCTTTTATTCTACGTACGGATCACAAACCGTTATTATCAATTTTTGGGCCATACAAAGGAATTCCGGAGGTATCGGCCAACCGTTTGCAGAGATATGCTTTATTTCTAAGCGGATATAATTACACGATAGAATATATTAAGAGTTCGGATAACAGTGCAGACTACTTGTCGCGTTTCAGCCTCCCGGGCGCCGATGCGAGCAGTAGCGGCACGGGCGGGGATTCAAACGCGGGCTACACGGAAACCGCCGATATCGACGACCGCGCAGCGTACGTTAATTTCGTTGTTAAGGGCGCGATACCAATAACCCTACAGGCGTTACGTGATGCAATAAATAAAGATCGCATTATGAAAAAGGTCATACATTATGTTTTAGAGGGATGGCCAAAAAAAGTTAATGATCCAGAGATAAAACCCTAGAGTTTATGCAAATTAGAACTGTCATATGAAAATGGTTGCCTTATGCGTGGTCATAAAATAGTTATCCCTGGATCGTTACGTGATAGAGTGATATCGGAGCTACATGCATCACATATGGGTATTGTTAAAACTAAAGCCGAAGCTCGCTCTCGGTTTTGGTTTCCAGGTATTGACGGCGTCCGGACAATATGTTTTATATAAAAAATATTCGTATAAAAATAAGTTCAATTGGTGTAAAGGCGTAATTATACAAAAACTTGGTAAAATCATATACTTAATACGAGACTCTTTGTTAAATACTGTTGTAAAAAACGTAAATCAAATAATTTTATATAAAGGCACCATTAATGCAAGTAGACCTTGGGAGCTAGATATTCTCAGCCCTGATACCCCAGGTAGTTCAGTATTGACACCGGCGTCATGCGTACCTATATTACCGCCAGATTTGCAATGTCATGACCAAGTTCGCGAGCTGGGAGAGGGTATGGACACGAGGACAGAATATTAACACCTGTGCCTGCAGCTGAGACTTCTAATGAGAACTTGACGAATTCTAATGACTCTTGCCGCCAATCACGATCACCCTCACATATAACAGTAACGCAAGGAGTTCGGCGTCCACAGTCGTCGGATGATGAAGAAGAGGTACCACGGGCACAAGAGTATCAAGTGCCATTAAAACGAAAGCGCCCTAAGGTTGACTATAAAAAGTTTTTTCAGTATGTTTTAAATATATTTAATATGTTAGTTTTTTTTATATAAGGTATTACATATTATAAAACCCTCACTATAGGGGGAGGAATGTTGTGTATTATACCTGTGCGCGGCTGCGTCCGCACCCAATAATAATGTTTGCAATTAAAGCGGTACATCGACAGCCGTTGAGTGTTTAACTAGTCCCCTGCGCTCCGTATCCGCGAACATAACAGTTTATAACTCATAGATTTTGAATTCATAGAGTCGTGGTAGCTCAGATGTATGGGCTCCCTGTAAGCTTCACAGTACACGTGCAACCCGGGTTCGATCCCCGCCGGCACCAATGAAATTGTTAATTACAATTTTAAGTGCTGATTTACCACGTGCTCGACGGTGAAGGAAAACATCGTGACGAAACCTGTCTGAGAAATAAGAAAAAAATGTTTCAAAGACCAAGTTCACCAACACGCATTGGGACAGCGCAGCGGACATTTCCTTGCCCTAAAACCCTCTCAGAAATGAGAGGAGGCCTATGCCCACCAGTGGGACGTAAATAGGCTGCAACTTTACTTAACTTTACTTTTTTTATAATTCATAGTTAGTTAGTTAGCTAGTTTCCAAAATGGTTAAATGTTCCGTGAGTGACTGTGGTTTCAATAATATAAATAATCTTGATGGTTGCACATTTCACAGGTAAATTCGCAAGACGTCGTTACGTCCTTAAAATTTATGTTATATACTGTTTGAAATATGGAATATTTTTAATTATTTTATTAATTTTGATATTTTGCAAAGAAAAAGGTCACGTTATTGATAATTTGTATGATTTTCGTAAATTCGTTTTAAACAAATTATTTTACATGTATGGTAGGGATTGACTCAACTATATTAAAATTAATGTCGATATTTATCTTGAATGTTTACAATGAATCGATAGACTTGCCCAAACAACAAGGAGAAGAATGAAAATAAATGCTCAATTTGCGTTCTAAAACGTAATTTAATTTTCCCGTTTGTCCAACAGAATAAAAAAATGGGTAAGTGAAACTAATTTTTAAACGGATTTTATCGCGTTTGATTAAAAGTTTTAATTTCCGACGTTTCGGGTGCTTTACAGCACCCATGGTAACGGGGGGGGGGGGGGGGGGCTAAGATGTTTGACGTCCCGATGTCATAGTTAGCCCGGCTACCTTCAGTTTTTGAATATTAATTTTTGGTCCGATCTACGCAAAATGAGCTTACAGTATCTTGAAGTCTTGCAGTAGTATGCTTGGGTTTGTATTTAATTTTATTAATTATAGGATCCCAAGCAGATGGCAGCACCTATCCATATGGGAATATGGATAGGTGCTGCCATCTATTGAAATTAGGATGTTTTTTTTTAATTTCAATAGCCTCGCGAATGAGCGTTGGTAGGAATCGGTGTTCTTTTGCGAGGATTTGTGGCCTATCAAATCTAATGTAATGGCGGGGACGATCTTGAACATGTTCACACACTGTAGACTTCCCGGAACGTCGGTGCTTTCACGCGGGTTTTAATAGATCTTTTTGTTTGTCCTATGAAAGAGAGACGACATTCACAATCCAGCTTGTACACTCCTGCATCGTGTAGTGGGATATGACACTTGACGGATGGTAATAACTTCTCATCTTCGGCGGCTTGAAGTTTGTTTTAATGGAAGCTCACTTCAAGATGTAGCCAACCTTATCTGTGACTCCTCTGACATAGGATAGTACAGCAGGCATACGCTTGACTGTGGCCGGCTTCACTTGGTCACAGTTTTTGCAAAATTCGAGCTCTTTGACAGTACTTTTATTGTTGATTCGTCCAGTGTATGCAGTGTAGAGTACAAGGAGAACCATCTTATAAGGGGCGAAAGTTGAAAAAGCGTCCTACTATTTACTGAAAATAGAGGTTCCAAAACCTACCACAATAGCGCTGGCGTCTGAAAAACTTCGATATGGTGATAGCTGTTGTGAACGGAGTGAAGTCAAATATTTCATGACTAGAGTAGTTAGTAAAATGCCAGTATAGAAAATATCAACTATTTACGTAGTACAAAACCAAGCGGATTGGTCGGTCCTTGTTTATTTCTCCATCTTATTCTAATTACTTTTGGCGCTTTTTTTTTAATTTATCCTATGCTACTGCAGCGCCACCCTTATTGGACGCGTTTTTAGGGACACTTTTCTTATATAGACATGGTCCTCCTTCTACTCTACACTCACAGTATTGAAGTTTGAAGTTAAATTAAACGCGATGAAATCCGTAAAAATTAGTTTCATTTAATGTGTACTCTTTGCGTTAATATAAACAATCAAAATGGATAAGGTTAATTTGGGGGGGGGGGGGGGGGGTTGGAATCCAAACAAGAACTCCACAATTTGCAGCTAACATTTTCGTGAGAAATATGAAAGAAAAAGCAGAACAATTTTATTAAAAGCATCCATTCCTACAAAATTTGCAGAGTAATATTTCAAAAATTTAACTTCAAAAACTTTAGGTAAATATTCAGATAGATTTTCGTACATTATAAAATTATAGTATATTATAAATAAAAAACAGATTATACTATTTAAGCAATTATGAACCCAACTGAGTATCTATGTATCACCCGTACCTCACGGTCACACAAGTACAATATTTATAGCATTACGCCATTTTCCCAAGTTTGGACGGAAGTGTTGAGCGGAGCTTCGGATTATATTTCCAAGTCACAATGATAAACCTTTTAATATAGTTAGGTATAGATATTTAGTAATGCTCCTGAAGCGCCACTTGATGCCAACGCATGTGACGCGCGGTTCAGTTTGCCAGGATAGTATAAATTCCATAATATTTGATACTTACAACGCCCGATGCCCGATTTATGCTTGGTGACAGTGTGCCGAGGGCTTGATAGCGTGCTTCATCACCTACAGCGTTAGTCGTAGGGAAGAGGAACTGGCGGTTAATTAACAGCTGCAAGAACAAGCTGCACTTGTCGCAGTAGTCACCAATATCTCCTGCATATTGGGCTAGTCTGTGTAAGATATATAGTATGTTTTTAAATTAATGCAACTAAAATGATAATAAGCTTATTATTTTACAGAGACAGACGAAAGAGAGAGTAGCCTCATAAATATATTAGCTTTTTAACAGAACAATCTTATTTAACTGATACCTACAAGTTGCCTTATTTAAATTTTTAAGTTTAAATTCATATTTAAGTCGAATGTTCAAATTAATTTCTATAATGTATTTAATTATTAATTATTAAATGTTTGTAATTGTTGAAAGTAATAGTTATATGAAAAATAAAGCAGCCATTATGTACTCCGTGAACCCGTTTATTTTTTCAATAGCAAAACATTTTATAAAATATATAAAGCATAAATAGGTATATATACTTAATTAAGTATGTAACTATTTATAGTTGATTAAGTTATGTTAAAAAAGAAATTCCGGGAAACTGTCCATGGCAATAAAATTTTCTCCGAAGGTTATAGCTCGAAAATACAACTTTCCGATCTGATTCTTGGGGTAAATTCTTTAAGTTTATCGGTAGACCTCTTTAGAAATTATTGGAACTTTGTACATTTTGAATTAAAATCCAATAAAAGGCAGGTAGGTGCAGCTTATTCCCGGGAACATGTTATTTGTTTACTTTTTTACTAGCAATAAGTTGCAGCTTGGTGCTGAAGCCGCGGGTTCGAATCCCGCACGAAACGAATATTTGTATGGCCTACAGATAATTGTTCCGGGTTTGGATGTTTGTCCTTGTGAAATTTATGTATGTAAACTACCCCCACGATACAGGAGAAAATCCTAGGGTGGAGGTAACGTCTTTTTTTTAAAAAAATTTAGAACTATTCAGGTAAACATTCAGTAAATTGTTGAAGTTTAGATTTTGTAAGTAAAGTGTATATCACTAGCTAACGCACACAATGACAAATCAAAATTGGTTACACATATTCGTGCTGTCAGTGATCTATTCTATACGCCAGTATATTCTATGTCTCTAACTAGCAGTTATTTAGTTTGCTTATGCGCCTTAAGATACTATTGTATACTGGTTCAAGCTGTCATCTTATGGTCTCAAAAACTTCGCAATGTGATGCTTGAACACATTATGAGGAAGTTTTAAAAGAATTATATTTCAGCGTTTTTTCGTTTTAGTAGGATACTTATTTCTTATTACATGTTTCTGGTAAAAATACAATCGTACCAGTCCATTGCCAAAGAAAAAAAATAACAACAACAGCTATTTGCCAAATTTGACAATTGAATCGATTTGTTGTTTGTCGTTGGAGAATATTCTTTGACGTTTGGACTTTGACGTTTGTTTTTATTTGCAATTCGCGAATAGTTCGTGCTGCGCAAGTTCTCATGCGCAATGAAGACTTCTTTGCTATCTGCTGGTCGATTGCGGTGTTCCATTTAGTTTTTCAGCTGATCACGCTTTCTACAGCCGCCTTACAGACGTCTCGCGCGTGTCATGTCTGATACTGCCGCGGCATAGTAAGATTGTGCTTGTGTTCCGTGTAGTTGACTAGCTAGTGCAAGTGCAAAATGTTTTCAGGACTAACAAATCAGGTTTCTTCCTGGATGGGAGCAGCTAAGGGCGAGCCACAAGACGAAGAGGTCCCTACCCCAACCAAGGACGCTACTGGAGAACAAACGGAAGGCGAAAAACAAAGGTAGGCAATACTTAGGTAGGTAGGTAAGTAGATAAGTCTTTGTTTACGTTTTTTATGGTTTTAAAGTTAATTCGAAATTTGTAATTTTAGTTAATTAAATGAGTAACTTTTGTTAGTTTTGGTTTATAAATTATCTTATGATCAATGTTAAAGAATAATGAAAATGGATAGATCTTATATTTTTGACTCTGTATGTATGTGTAATTCTCATAGTTTATATGTAATGGACTATTAAAAAAGGAGTAATAACATTACTAAATTTTATCACCCTGTAATGATATTACATAATATACAATATATTGATTCAATGTGTAGACAATGAGGTCAAACTTTAATAATTTGCAACTGCAAGTAACAGCAGTGCCTGCACAGCTTTCATATTAATGTTATATTAAATTAGGAGATGTATTTTCTCACTTATTCTTTGTCCTATCTTTTATGCAGATAAAATCTTTTATTTTAAGGTGCCATTATCTTACACTAGTGTAGTTCCAGATTTACAACATATTAAAAGTAATATTAACATATTAATTATCTTTATCCTGCAATTTAGGTTGTAATAGTATTAAAAAAATTATGCAATATATTGATTCTGGATTTTATTTGCAGCCCCACAAGAGGAGGAAGCAAGCTGGATCTTATCACTAATGTCAAATCACAGATGACTGGTTGGCTTGGATCAGGAATTCCAATACCAGGTCTTAAAAAAAATGAGGCCCCGCCCACTGATCCTGCAGAAGCCACTGCCTCTGAGCCTGCTGAGGCTGAGGAAGCCCAGCCAGAAGGAAAGGATGATGATGATAACTCCAGGTATAATAGGTATGCGGGGTTAGCAGATGCAATGAGCTTGCACAATTTGGCTTTGTGTTATTTTTGAAATTTTATTCTATATTGAGTTATTTAAATTGTCCTTTCCTGGGGTATTATATAATGTAAATTTAGATTTTTACAAACCACATTTTTTATAAAACTTAATAGTAGTTTTTCATCATTAATAAAGAAGTACAACGTAATTTTCATTTGGTAAGAAATTTTAAGTAGAAAGACAAATAAAAATATTTTACAAAAAGTACTATTTAGTAGGAATATTTAGTAGTATTATTACTCAACACTTTTTGGTTGATAAAGGAGAAGCATACTTAACACCTTCTACTTTTATATAAATTTGTTTTTGCACAATAGTAATATAGTTTAGCTTAAACATGGCTGCTTTAATTATCATTTATTTTATTTTATTTGTCTTTAAGGGCATATGATTGAAACAAATAAGATTTTATATTACTGCTTGTTGGTGGTGTAAGATTGAGTGGTAACCTGGTAAGATATTCAGGAAGTCAGGATGTAGTCTGCTCAGGACCACATTTTGTGGCCTGATTGATTAAGATGATGATTAAGCTGGATATGAAAATATTTGTAATGCTTTTTTTTGATAAAATGATAAATATTTTTTATGTTGCCGCATAATTATTTTCATAAAATATTTTACAAAAAAATTTTTGCCTATTTAATTCTCTCTATTTTATTAGCATTAGAAATTAAAAAATATTTGTATTAAGTCTTATATTTTGTGAACTCATTAATTCTGCTCAAACCCCACCTTTTATTTGTCATTGTTGTGTGTTTCATGTTTTTTTTTTAATATATATTTAGTAATATTCTTACTTATTAATTATTGATTATAGACTCGTGTGTCTTTAGTACAGTCTGCAGCTATAATTTCACATATTCATTATTGATTTACTTATTTTAGTACAGTCTAGCTGTAGATAAAGGCTAAGAACTACTCATATATTAATTAAAATTGAGAAAAGGTTTTGTTGAAGGTGTCGCTTTTTGTACAAGCATGAATGTAAGTAAATTACATTTCATACACAGTCATTCAACTATAAAGATTTTGTCCTTTCATAGTTTACTTTATATTTAAATAAAATAAATTCAATGAAAATTGATGACAGTGTTTCCCAATAAAACATTTCTGGAATTTATAAGGAATAATAAACAACTGTGCAGGAGATTTTACAGTGGAACGAGCATTAAGTGCTAACATATGGGTTTACCCATCCTAATCTACCAGTGCCTTATATAACTTTATGTGATAGGATCAGAGGTGGACTCAAATGGAGATTATTGGAGAAAAAGATGTTAGCTTTGATAAGAACCCCGAACCTTAATCCTATGCAGTACTAATGGTTCTGGTTATACAATAATATTGGCAATAAAGTGATGTATTGATTAATTATTAATTACGGTATAACCCACCCATATTCAAAATAATTTGCTTAGAATTTGTTAAGATTGGAGGTAGGCTCGCATGTAGAGTTAGTGACCTGTTAACAATGATATGCCGAAGTGCTTGTAGTTGAAGAGAAGTAAAAGTAGCTTGAAGAAGCGACAACTGATGGAGAAGAAAGGTTGTAGAACAACAGCTTCATATTAGCAAGCATGGTGCTGGGCGATCCCCCCCATACTTTGTGGCAATCTTTGGGGGAAGCCTATGTCCAGAAGTGGACTTGTGATGATTTAGAGTAATGATGATAATGCTGATGCATAATCAGAGCACATTTAGATTTGAAAATATGTTATATAACTTTTGAGAGTATATGGGGTGTTAGGTTATCTTGGTGAGTGGATGCTGTGGCCAATAGACCTACATCTATCCTCAATCAAGAATCAAAATGAGGATACCTTGTCACCTCTGATGACTAAAATGGAGTCCTTCGTTCCTAGTAAAACTTGCGGCGTTAACCAAAAGATCATTTGGTGGCAGGTTTAAGAGTTCATTAAACTTACAAATAAATTTCAAAACTAGACATGAAACGAGTAGTGATTCGCCAAGTACTCGGCCTAGATTGGGCCGAGTACTCTGCCGAATACTCGGCTTAAAAAAAACGCGGTAGCTGGCGGCGTGCGGTTATTTTTCTTACAAACTAGACCCAAATAGGGCTGAAAAACTAGAGTTTCGCATCACAATCTTCCTCTCTTAAATTTTAAATATTAGTTATAATAATTTCTATTTTAGATTCTTATGTACGTTCTAAATATTTCTGCTGCTTCTCATGTTCCTGATGTTTTAATGTGTCTAATAAAATAATAATGATAAAAACTGGCTTTTTGTCTTTATTTTTCTCTCGAATATAATTAAGGCCGAGTACTCGGTACTCGGCCGTTAATACTCGGTGCTCGGCCGAACCCTGAAAAAGGCCGAATCCGCCGAGTACCGAATCCAAACCGAGTACTCGTCCCATGATTCAAAACGTGGCGATAAGGGTTTGCCGTATCCTCCAAGCATGGCAGACCGCCTGCCGATTCTTTCTCTGTAATGAAATAAAATATATTTACTTCTACAACCTAAGAAAATTAATTTCGTCTGTCAAATGTTTTTTTTAAACTTACTAAATGAACAACCGTTTCGTAATGATGTTCCTCTCACTGGAAAAGAAACTCCACAGGTATCATTCAGAAACTTCGCAGGTATCATTAAGAAACTTCGCGGTTATCATTAAGAAACTTCGCAGGTGTTGAGGACACTTGTAAAAAAATTATAAACTACTCAAACTGTAATCTATTGTTAGGTCCGCAATGCAGTGGCAATTTCATTATATTTATGATGCCCCGTCCCATATTTTCGTTGTGAATCAATCCGTTGTCCGGATTATTCCGCTTTTGGATTTGTCGTGCGATTCGCATTGTTCCGATATTAATGAGCTTACATTATCTGTGATTCTCTACAGTCTACATACAACCTATTGTTTTTGACTATAAAAATATTTAAACAATTTTAGATGTCAGCGTGATTAAGTGCTTGTATTGCTGTATTTCGGTTTGAAGGATATAGGGTGCTATTTGACTGCCACGTTGGTCTAGTGGTTGTAAATGCGGTTGGTGATCATGAGGTCCTGGGTTTGAATCCCGGGTGGGGCCAAAATCCGTTATTGTGTTTTTCTGTGAAGAAATTCCCAGCAGCAGCCCAGAGTCAGGAAGTTGGCTGTGTTTCACCTCCGTGCCTCAGAACGCATGTAAAGGCGAAGGTCTAGCGCCTGATTTCTCTCCGGTCGCGTCGGATTACTATCATAGGACATTGAGATAGACATTATCTACATAGGACTATGAGAGTGAGGGAATAGAGAGTGCAAATACTTCAGCACTTTAATCGTGTCGTGCGTCAAAATTTGATCTGGCGGACATTATTATTATTATAGGGAGACAGTACATTTAAAGGTTGCAAGCCATTCCATTTTAGTGCTCAGAGATGACAACGCGTCGGTAGCCTTCTTTGTTATCTGCTGACTTCAAAAAGGAGACAGTACTCAATTCGACTCCATGGTTTTTTTATGTGTTACCTCATAACATTTTACTGGGTGTACCGATTTCGATGATTCTTTTTTTATATGAAAGCTGATACTCCTCGTGTGGTCCCATATGAATTTGATCAAAGTATGACCAATAGTTTTTGAGTTATTCTTAATAATTTATATTGAAGTCGATTGTACAAAATTTTTAATTTTAAATTATACGTATCCATGGACTGCGGTAGCCACCTACCATCAGGTGGACTGTAAGTTATTTTGGTCACTACAGTCTTTATATTAAAAAAAAAACAGATTGGCAACATGAAATTTCTTTACCCACTGTTCGTCCATTTCTGGAGCTATTATTCTATTTTATTCTAATGGTCGAAAACGGGAATGACACGAGGAGTGAGTGTCAAAACGCACTCATCCGTACATCCGTAGTGATAGTGACGTAAATGTTGTTACGTGTAGTTTACTATTCTCTTGTAAAACTCGAGTGTGATAGGTCTTATAAGATCCATATCCATTTCATAAGATTCACATAAAATAGCCCAATGGTGCCGCGTTTCGTATGGTGAAAGATGGGTACCGTAGACCTTTACTGGACATTCCATTTGAATCTTCAGCGGTGACCGCATATCAGCATTTTCATCCTAAATCGAGAACAGATGTAGGGTAAGAGAATCCATTACGTCATTTCGTCCCATATGCGTCGTAAGAAGCGACTGTGGGATGTGCCAAGAAGATCTTATGGCTCGATAGATGTCTGTTTAAGCGTCTCGTTAACGTCAGGCCGGTTACAAAAACCAGTCAAAGTTGCGAAACGTTTGGTACTGAGATCGTCAAACAGTTTGTCAAACATGAAAATAAGGATAAACCTTCTTTACAATGGGAGAGACCCATGTCCAGCGGTGGGATTCCACGTAGGGATGGGCAAGGGAAAGATATTTATCGCGCGATAAATATCAATATATCGATATATCGTCATCATTTGCATGATATAAAGATAAGGTCCAAAATTTTATATTACTGACGGTTAGACGACGAAAAAAAAAAAATAAAAAAACGACAATCAACTACACATGATACTTTGGTACCTCCTTTTGTTGTTATATGTTTTGTCATTAATACAACATTTCAAAATATATCGAAATTGATACGAATTCGATACTCTTAAATAAATATCGATATATATTAAAATTTTCGAAATTGATATATCGATATTTTTTGCCTAAGCCTAATTCAACGGGCTGATGTCGAAGAAGTATATGGTCCACAGCATCTATTTACTGTAAGATTATAATCTACAAAATACTTAAAAAAATAAATTTTAATTTGAACATCCTATTCGGGTATATAAATGGTATGCTAATGCTAATACAGTAATATACGTGGTACAGCCATGCTGTAGCGATATTGTGGTTGTAGCACGAATGGGTCGTCTCGACTGGGGAAGGACCATGCTCTCGCAGAATACCAGCATAAAATAGCTGCTTAATGCTCCTGTGTTTCGTATAGTGAGTGAACTCAGGGGTGACAACGCATTAGCATTTTGATTCTTAATCACGGATAAATGTATCTGGATAATGTCTAATGGTCACGGTATCCATTTAATATCAGGTAGACTGTGTACTGGTTTGTTACCCTTATTCTATAAAAAAATGCTAATGTATATTTGTCACAACGTTGGTAACTCTGATGCAGCGCTACTGGTGGGGCGGACAGCAGGCCTGCATCTACAGGCGGTACTCCCACGGAGGAGCAGCCAGGTGGAGTCGGGAACGGTATGTGGTGTGATGTGTATTCAAATTAGATTTTAGTAAAGACGCTTGTTCTGTTACTTTATATTTTCATAGATTTTAGTTCCTGTTTCAAAAGTTTTGGATTAAATTAAATTTGATAGTATTTCACGTCTTTAAATGTACTGAAATGCATTTACATATTACTATTAGATAAAATCAAATGAAATAAGTTACGTTGAGTGAAAATTGTTCACAACGTAACAACGTAAGTTTTGAAAGCTAAGTTGTCGATACTCTCAATTTGCTTAAAAGGTTGCATTCAATTTACGAGACGGCTAACTTCTCCTGTAAAAGCAATGCTCTTACAAAGTAGATTTAATATATATTTTGCTAACTGTATACTATTTAGTTAAAGACTACCTTGCAGCATTACAAATAAGTTGTAATCGTAACGGTAGTACCTCAGGGCACTACTCTTAGCCTCCTGTAATTCCTTTTTTGCTAAATTGCGTATTTGTAAATCATCACTTTAAAATTCAGCTAGTCGATTCGATTATGTACAAAAAATTTATTTATACAGAAATATTTATTACAGTTATAATTTGTAATTTTAAAAGAAATATGTTGACTTGATTAGCAGGGTGTTACGTAATTCAATCCATCTATGGTTCTTTGGCTATGTTTTGATTTTTAGTTTTTTTTTTAAATATTTGTAGTGGCTATTTATGTTTTTATTGCACAGTTCCAGGTCCCGAAAGTAAAAACTTTTTCTCTGTTGATGGTATTGAAGTGCCAGATATGCAAGAGCGTTAGTATTTTTTATTTTATTTTCTTTTATTTTAAATTCCTTTTGTGCTTTGAGTATGCTTGTAGATTAATAAAATTAGTTCATATCATTTGACTCTGCTTTACGGTTGTTAAAAAGAGTATGTTGACTTTGTGGACTTTACTTGCAACGTTACGTGCACTCCGCTGACTGACGGACTAGGTCCTGACGACTGACAATTTTTTTACGAATCTGACTGAGACCTTAAAAGTGCCAAATACAAATTGGTTATGAGAAGCAGCACGACTAGTGTTAGACTATCGTGTCTATGCTTATCGACCAGCCCACCCATATGACTGATAGAATATTGCAGAACTCATGTGTTTTCTACAGTCTCGCATGAAACTTTTGATATTACTGCCTTTCATACTGTGTCTTGTGAGATTGTAAGTGATGGATCAAAGAGTAAATAGATATATTTATTTGTGCCTAAACAATTTAGTGGGTAGCTATAGAAATTATTTTCACTATGTACAAACGCCGGGAAAATCCGTATGTTCATGCCTATAGATGACTGACGTGGTACTGATATATCTCTTGGCATTTCTTAAATTAAGTTTTATATATTTTTGAGACGTTATGAGGGAAGCCACACATGATTATTTGGTAGCGTTCGCGGCTTCGGCATCGCATCACGTTATCACACTAAGTGCTGCGGGTAGATTTATATTATGTAGTAATATAAATCTACATTACTACATAATATAAATCTACCCGCTAATCTGTGGCTTTGCTGTAGGAGTTTCTAGAATATAAGTACATTTTTCTACTTATTTTCTAGATGTCTAAGTAGGATTTGAGACAACATGTAGGACAAAATGATGCTCCTAATAATTCCTGAGCTGAGTTTGTTATAAGTCATCATCATCATCATCATCTTGTCTTTTCATAAGTCCACTGCTGAAATCATACCTCAAAGGAATGCTACAAATTTATTATCCCTAAAGATTTAATTACGGAATCCAAAGATAATTTCCCAAGAGGTACAAATTTTTACAATTTCTTTCTAACTGCTACATTTAATCTTGAATTTATTTCTTTTTTAGATTTTCTATTAATAAACCGCTTTTGTTACCGCAAATTTCAGAGCGGCCATTTTTGTGGTAGTTAGCTGAAAACGGTAAACTTAGCTACGAAAGTCTGTCGCCCCATATCGATCTTGGGTGTCGGGAAATATTGATTTAGGGGTGTGTCGGAAAAATCTGACGAAATAGATAAATCCAATTGTGAATTGTTACAGGCTCGTGGAGTAGATGAAATGGATTTACGTATTAAAGCAACGTACAATACGTAACAAAAATGAGTGCCCTCCCGGGCCATTGTTTTCATCTTTCAATTTGGGATAATACTCTCATGAGTTTTATTATTTTATGATTGAACTAGCTGTGTGAAATTCATTACGATTGCATGTCTTTTTTTACGCGCGTAGCCGTGATTTTTTTTCTAAAATAAAAGTGGCCTAAGTTGCTCCTTATAACATCAGCTATTTGCTAGTGAAAGTCCCGGTCTCAATCGGTCCAGCCATTTCGGAGATTAACGGGAATAAACAAACAGACAGACAAAATTTTTAAAAATAGTTTTTTTTTGTTGTAAGTACGTTATATACTTTCATATGCATTTAGGTAAAAGCTGTTATTTTGATATTACAAACAGATACTTAAATTTCATTTATTTGTAATATCTAATTCCTACCCAGCACATTAATTGTGGTTGTGCTATAATTAAAACGCTCGGTGGGCGGTCGATAGCGGTGCTGGGTGTTTGTAAAGCATTTTTAAAACATACAATTAGTATTTAGTTTCAGCTTGTGATAGGATATTATTTTTATTTAATTGAAAATATGTTTAATCAATTTGACAACAAATTAATAAATTACAGTCCGTACGGATAAAGAATGGGATTAGAAATGGCGGCTCATCGAGCCCGTACCGTCAGCATGCACAGTAACAATAGCGTAAATCCGCTAATAATGGTAATATTAATATTATTCGGTTCATTGAAAATTTTCTATTTAAGGGAAAATATTTGAAAATAATAATTGTAAAACCTATGTAAGTATATTAATTTTAAAATAACATTCTTCATTCATCTATATTCTATTGATTGACGGATGAGATTCTAACCGAGTGTTAATCTCGAAAGTTAATCTTAAAATGCCGACTGGCCGGTATTCTGAAAATCTCGTGTTTAAATCAAACCTCGCAATGTCAAAATCTATGTAACATATTATGGTCTAGACTAAAATTTTAAAATTTTGAAATTTTAAGTTTAAATTCAAGATTATTTCTGAATATTGGCCTGAAACCCACAGCCTGGTCATGGGCAGTAGCATCACCAAAGCGAGGGTATTGGCACTGCGTCTCATACATCCAGAACTTAAACAGGCAGATGATGATTGTAAATAAGTAATTAACTGGGTTTACGGATGAGAGCAACTCCAGTATTTGTTTATTGTTTTGTTTTCTATTTATATATACAAATTATTTACATTATGACTGCCTGTTTGTCGAGTGGTCGTAAACTCGATTACCGATCATGAGGTCCCGGGTTCGAATCCCGGGTCGAGCTAAAATTAGTTATTGGATTTTTCTGTCAAGAAATGCTCAGTAGCAGATCGGCGTCAGGAAGTTGTGATTCACCCCCGTGCCTCGTAAAACACATAAAAGCCGTTGGTTCTGTGCCTGATCTTTCCGCTCGTGTCGCCTTGCCGTCTCTTGGGACTCTGAGAGAGGGAATAGTGAGTGCAACTGTGCTTGCACATGCACTCGGGCACTGCAATCCTGTCCTGCGTAGATGGCTACTGGTCCTGGTCAACGTTGAGACTGGCCGCTGTGACCGAAATTCGGTCTGGAGGACATTATTATTATTAGAACTAAGTTTCTTATCGGACGGTACGGGTTTAGCGGACGGGACCTAGGCGACAAAAAGTGTAAGATTTTTTTCGGCACTACTCCTTGGGTCATTGTGTATTTTATTTTAAATGACGTTTCATTTGAATACACGCTAATAATGAATTTATTTATATTTGTTAATCAATAATATAATACGGTTATCAACAATAATATACTATGAAAGGAACTTCGTTCCAACCGAGTGTTCCACGACACTCACGCATGTTTTAATATATTTTATTTATATTACGTTTGTAAATTGATGCTGGTAGCGGACATTATACAATTCACTGAATTGCCATGGCTATGATATTTTTCGTAACTTGGCAGTGACGACTAAAGCGGTAGCTGGTGCCAAGTCGCTGGGCAACTTCCTCTACTCTGCTGTGAACAAGGCCGGCGCGAAGGTCAGCGAGGCCGGTGCTAAGATTAAGAAGACGGTCGAGGAGAACGTGAGTACACATCTTAAAATATAAGGCCGTTTACATACGAGGACGTTTTCAAGGTCTGCAACTGTGATGTAATTCGTTGATTGTTGATTGTTGACTGGTATGCTTCATTGTCGAGTATTATTTACTATTAGTTATTATTCGCAGAGGAGGTTACTTAAATAAGAATAATTCTATGATCTTAGTTCATCATTGTGTAGTCGATTTTTGTGATTTTCTAGGTGTAATAGAAAACGTTAATTATTTTATATTAACTGCTAGAATAATTCAACATCAGTGCATAGTCACAATACATCAGCATTTTTTTTTAAAGAACAAGGGTGACTTAGGAACACAGCACACCTGATGTTAAGTGGATGCTGTGGCCCATAGACATCTACATTTATCCTAGAATTAGAATCAAAATGTAAATGCGTTCTCACACTTGAGGACTAAGATGGAATGCCTCGTATCCAGTAAAAAGGTTCTCCGGTATTCTACACTAACCATACGCCACAGCAGCGTTACGTTGCTATTTTACGTTGGTATTCTGTGAGAGCGTGGCCCTACCTCGGTCCAGCCGATCCAGTCGTGCTATAACCATTTTCTGTCGCTTGTTAATTTCCTCGTGTGTGAAAGACCTAAATAATGTATTTAATATAATATGTACATGTGTTTTTCAGGATAAAAGGACTATTTGCTGCTGTAAAACTGTGAATTATATTTTCCTTTCCTTAAATTTTAAACTTTTTTACTGAGTTTAAAACACATATTCGAATTCATAAATATTTGAAACCTGCGTTTTATGTTCACCGCTTACTCGGAAACGTTTGAACTAATTAATGATGATGATAATGAATTGATGATTTGATACTTTAGTATGTTTATACTTTATGCTCTCAAGTCCCATATAAATTTAAAGAACAAATTCCATCTCTAAGTTGATGTTACTGCTATTTTTCTAGAATAAAAATGAAAAAGAACACGCGGGGACTGCGTGTTCTTTTGTACGTGCCTGATTGTAAGTGCATGCTGTGGCTTATAGACATCTACATCTATCATATATATGTATATGATCTATATACTCACTTAAAAAATGAAAATGTGGATGCGTTGTCACCTTTGAATACTAAAATAGAATGCACCATTATCAGTAGAAAAAGGGGTTTCCGTTTCTCTATACTTACCATACGAAATACAGCAGTATAAATCTGCTATTTTACGCTGATATTCTCTGAGAGCATGGCCTTTCCCTGGTCGAGCCATTGGAACAGCAGCGTGTTCTACCACATTAAAAATGTCTAATATATTGCTGAATTTTAAATCTAACCTTATGTCGCAAATATAGGTACTCTAATTTTTAATAAGACAATTTTCGGCATCAGATTAAATTTTGTATTCAGATACCTTCTAAGTTTATAGACTAGATCCTTGAGAAAATGTAATTTTTTTTTCTGACGACGAGAGACTCGGTCGCCCAGGTACTTATCCTGCGTCGTCGATTATAGAAACTTTTTATAAAAAGGAAAACCGAAGTTAATGCCGATATAAGAGAGGATAGAATTTTCCTCTTAAAAGTCGACATTTAGTGTGATTTATCGTGAAAGTTCGGTCCTATATCATCTAGTCTTCGCTGGAGTCTGCGGGCGACGGGCCGAAACTGAGGATAAATATCAATTTATTATTTGTTCCGTTCGCACCGCGGCTTACTACGCGAATGTGAAGCTAGATTTATGATTTTGGCACGTATCTTATTTATTGCCGAGGAAGAGTTCGCGAGTAGCAGCTTTTTACCTGTAAGCGAAGTGTAGGACGGTCCCCCACTAAATGAATTGACGTGCAGGTGGCTCAGGACACTGCTTTGTGACATTTCTTGGGGGAGGCCTATGTTCAGCAGTAGACATGTGATGGGATGTAATGATGATGATTCTTATTTAACACTATTTTGTAAAGTCTTATTATATCTTTCAGCCTCTTCTATAAAAGCACGTGAAAGTCCACTGCTGTTTCTGTGTATCGACGATTGCAGTACCAGGACGTGCCGTACCTTTATGCCGCTCCCAGTCTATTCTGGGTATTTTTCGTCAGGCGCGAACGAAATTGTTATACCTCCATTTTATGAAGTCGGACTATGAAAAATGCTAGAAAGATTTAGCACGCCTTTTGAGACATAAATCACGCAATAACTAATCACTAAAATATTATAATAGTGCACATTTGGGAAAACTAACAAAATCTATTGCCTAACTATTCAATTAGTCGAAAGATCTAAAATTGACTTTACAATAGAAATTATTGCGGTCGCAGCATCCGGTCTAGCTATTAACTTTACCAATCTCCTACATAATAAATCGAAGTAGGGGTTTTATTGCCTTTCTTTGTGCTGGAATGGGGACAAATACATTAGGTTATAATGTTTCACTTGGCCTAGCAAAGTACCACGCCGGTCGTGCCTGATACTTGGCAGGTCACCCGCATTTTATGTCTTGAAATTTCAGTAATTTATTTGGCTTATTATATACTTACAGAGATATGACGGCTATGATTAATTGTAGGGTATTATGGAGTTTTACAAAAGCTTTGTGAAATATTTGAGTTACGTCACCAACGCTTTCCGCATACATTAGGTTATAATGTTTCATTTGGCGTAGCAAAGTACATCGCCCGTCGTGCCTGATACTTGGCAGGTTTCCCGCATTGCATTCCTTGAAATTTTAGTGCTTCATTTGGCTCATAATGTACTTACAGAGGCATTTACAGAGGCAAGGAGTTTGAGAAAGGCTTTGCCAAAAATATTTGAGTTACGTCACCAATGTTTTCCGCATTATTTATTTATTTGGTTCACCAACAAATGTTGCACTAATACTTATGCTGAATTCTAAGGCAGTAATATAAACTACGAGCACATTTAATATAGATAAACACCGCACGCTTAGTGCTCACGTTATAATTCATCATCATCATCATTACAACTCTTCACAAGACCACTGCTGAACATAGGTCTCCCCCGAGGAATGCCACAAAGCACGGTCAGCCACCTGCATCCATCGACTTCCCGCATGTCTCACCAGGTCGACACTCCATTTAATAGAAGGCTATAATTGTTTTAATCTAATTTTTACTCATAAAAATTTCTTAAATTTACCATATGTTGAATACCACTTTGAATGGAAGTTATTTTACGAAATTTATAATTTCCAAAAAAAGGGAACTTTCGCCTAGGGCGTCCATTCTCGACACTGCCGTTAACTTCTACAACATAGATTTGCTCTGTCACTATTTACGTTCATTCTTTCTACATGAACAAACCATCGAATATTATTTTCTTAATCCTGGTCACATCATCTTGCAAACCACACTTTTCTCTTATCACACAATTTCTCACTCTGTTCCAGATTCAGCCCTAACATACTCCTTAATGACTGCATTTCTGTAGCACGTATCCTACTCTCATGCTTCTTCTGCCACAACCAACTTTCACTACCATACATTAAAGTAGGGACTAACAGAGACAGAGAGACACTCGTCATTCTTTATCTTTATCACTACCATCTCTGCTGCATACAATCCAAATACGCTCATCTCCGCTAAACTCATTTACTTGCTCAAACAACTCCCCTTCTATTCTGATTTCAAATATCGTTTTACTTTCTACTCTTTCAGAGTCTATCACTTTCGTTTTACTTGCGTTCACCTTCTATATAACAACTGTCTTATAATAAAACAGGTAATTAAAAACTTCGCCTAACTCTTACAGTTAATATAGAACGTGGTTAGTTTTCAAAAATATTTTCTTTAACGTTCTTAAATGTAGCTGGGCTTACATTAATATGTTTTTTCCATCTACATGATTGTCCAAATAGTCTATATTTCTAACAGAGTAAATATCTGAGGCGAAGTGTTCGGGCATAGGATTTTATTAGGGATCCTAGTGAAGCAAAGGGCACATTAAACGTAAGCGTTTAGAACCATTAATGGCTTTTTATTAGTTTGCGGGGCGTTGCTTATATGAATCAGGCTTGAGTGAATTGAAACATTTTGTTTTATGGTATATACGACTAGTTTTAGGTTGAGGTTGAGGTTGCTACTTTACAGGCATTGTAGACTGTATTATTTAGAATATTAGAGATGAAAACGTCGTAAACATTACCGAAAATCGACTACAACAGCAATTTCTCAATCCTGAACGAAACCTGTGTTTCATCAATATATTATAGGTTAATCATAACCATCATTGCAGCATCCATCTAGTTGACGGACGTTCTACACTTCGTCTACCCATACGAAGCTGCCACTCGAGAACCTTTCTTCCCCTTCGGTTTTCGGTTTTTCGAAGTATATGGCAAAGTATGGCTCATTGTCACTACAGCTTACTGTTCCGTTCTTGAGTGGTAACCGCGTGCCGGTGGCGAAGTGTAGGGCGTCCCCCCACTAGATAGAGTGACGACATGGTAAAACATGGAGGAAGTCGATCGATGCGGTTGGCTTAGAACTGTGTTTAGTGGCATTCGTTGGGGGAGGCCTATGTTCAACAGTGGACTTGTGAAGGGCCGTAATGATGATGATTATTTTATTAACTGAGCCTGTTGGATACATGTAGTCTCATCTTCTTCGTTCATACTTCGGTATCTTTTTTTTTAATAAAATTCCATTGGTTTTTAGGGTTCCGTACCTCAAAAGGAAAAAACGGAACCCTTATAGGATCACTTTGTGGTCCGTCCGTCTGTCTGTCTGTCTGTCTGTCTGTCTGTCTGTCTGTCAAGACCCTTTTTCTTAGGAACTCGTGGAGGTATCAAGCTGAAATTCATATCAAATACACAAGTCTCTTGTCCCTTAGAGCAGTGAAAAAAATCAAACTTCTAAGCCAACGCAATCAAAAGATACAGCCGTTTATGCCGCAAATTTTCATTCGCAAGGGAATCAAAACCTACAGGGTACTTCCCGTGAACTTAGAATCTTAAAATTTGATACGAAGCAACGTTTTATAGCACAGATAAAGGAAAAATTGCGAAAAGCATAAATTT